GAATTCTTAATTTGACAATAAATCGACTTCCAACATTAAATAATTCGATCAATAATATAAAAAGTTTTGAAAAATTCATCTATCTCTAGAAATAAGATATATGAATTTTGATGGGAATAAATAAATTACTTTTAAAAGAAACAGATTTCTTTGCTAAATTATTTATTTTTTCAAATGAGATTAGCAGATTACATAGATTTGTAGATATTTCTATTGATTTAGCATCTACAGATGATTATTTTTTATATAAAAACATTGAGAATATCAATGGAAAGTGTTCAATTTTTGGGTTTTGAATATATAAAAAAATTTAATTTAAGTTATTGACAACAATAAGATAAGCATAAATGAGATTGGCAAATTTGAAAATTTCTGTAAAATCCAAAAACTATTGTAATAAAAAATTAAGTTAATAATAAAATTGATAATAAAATTTTAATAATTTTATGTAACACTAAATTATTACATGTATAAAAAGATCTCTTAATAGATTTAATGCCACATAATACATTGCTCCATTTTCTGTATGTTTCCTCCTGAGCCGGAAACAGATTCCATGACACGCGAGGACACATGAAAGTCTCTATTAACCCTAGATATAGATTTGCGGATCTATAAGTTAGTGTCTCCAATCAAATGCGAGATTTTAAATGTTACACTTTGTTATAAAAAGCAAATTCATTATTAAAAGAAAAATTTATTATAAAAAGTATATGTGAGAATTATATTTACTTACTAATAAATGTATTTCTTATTTCTTGTTAATTTTGTATACTTATATTTTATTTCTTATAATCTCAATTATTATATAATAATGTTATTAATAAACTTAATATAAAATATATTTAACTTTTTAAAACTTTATTCTATAATACTCTATATAAATAAAATGAAATAAAATTCAATACTTTTTTTTTCATAAGATATTGATAATTTTGATTAAAGATACCTTTTAGTAAATATATGCAGTATATTTTTTGAAATATTTATAGATTTTAGAGGTTTTCTCTGCTTTTGCAAAAAATAAATCAGCAAAGAAACAAAAAATATCTATCGATTTTTGCTTCCTCGTTGAGGAAGCTTTGTTTTAATATATGTAAAAATATTTTATATATAGAACTTTAATTTTAAATTTATTTAATATAATTTAAGAATAATATAAAATATGAAGAGTTTATTTGCACATTGCACAAGTTTTCCGATTTTTAGCAAATATTAAATTTCAGTAAAGCTTTTGTTACTCAAAGTTTTATATAATACTATTTAAAAGAGAAAAAAATTTAAATGAATATTTATACAATTTTTCAATCTTGCTAGAATATAGAATCATTATTTGTAATTAGAAATCTTAAAGATTTTAAAAATTATTGTCAAGAATCGAGAGCTCATATATTTTTCTAATACTTCTGTGACACTTCTGTGGAAAACGCAATTTTATTACACTCCTGCTTATCATTGAAAAAAAATTTATTTATATTCTGATTTACACACCTCCACAAATGTTGTGCTTGACTCATGATGATTCACTTTGAAATGGAATCATCAAAAACTTTCCTTATTTTTGATTGGTTTTAGGATTTTTCAGAAAATCCGCGAATTTTCTTCCGTACACATTATAATAAAAATTCGAGTTATCACGTCCTACAACAAGAAAATACACGCGATATTTCATGACGGTAAAGCATTTCGTAAAACTGCGAGCTAATTCGCATTGACAAGAAGACGTGCATCAACGGGCTTTTTCGGTGACGTAAGGCGTCTTTTACGTTTCATTCATTCCCCCTCTTTCTTTCTTTCTCATTTCATCTTATTCTTCTCTTTCTTTCTAAATAACCTTCTGTTACCTCCTACTCATCTCATAAGATCGAGAATCAACGCGATAGTTCCGCGACTTCACGGTCGAGTCCGTGAGTTTGTTCACGTTTTCATGGAATCTATAACAACATTGTTTTGAAAAATAGTGCGTGCATTTTTCTATCATTTCTTGTGATTTTTGCTCAATTTCCAAAGTTGGAATCACTAAGTCTAAAATACATTTTATTATAAGTGATTGAGATATGATAAAATAATTTTAAATGATATATAATATTGATATCATTTTTTGAACATGTAATATACAAATTTTAGTATATTACAAAACACTCACTATTTATTATTTAATAGAATCCAAAATTTAAAAAAGTCTTTCCATGCATATACACATAACATATGTTATTTAATTTATATGCAAAATGAATAAGCTAATAGTTTTTTTAAAGAAAAAATTTATACAATAACAAATAAAATTAATATAGAATTTTATTTACTGATAAGTCTATAAATTCGAGTTGTCAAAATACGAAATTTTTCTGCGTTCAATATATTATTATAAAAACAAAAAAAAATCACACTACACCTACACAATTAGCTTTGTTCTTCAAAAGCAATGTCTTTATAAACTCGCATTAAATGAATAACAATTCTCACATTGTTACTAATTTTTTTCTTGAAAATTAACTTGAAAATAAGCTAAAATAAATGAACACCACGATGACAATGATTTGACGAATATTTAACTTGTTCATTGTTTTAAGATGTTATAATCTATGAATTCCGGTTGTGAATACAACCGTATTTATATGTGCATACGTCTACGTCAATGTAATTGCAATTATTATAATAGTGTTAATTCTCCCTCTTTTTCTGCCTCTTCTTTTCTCTCTACTCCCCCTCATCCTCTCATTAAATTGTCGTAACAGATGCGATTCTTTCTTGATGTTAAGCAGAATTTTGTGAACATTATGATATAAAAAATTATAATTAATTATATATATTTTATTATATATTTTTTAATTATATATAGTATTTATTATATTGATAAAAAAGAACGTTTTACTTCTTTATAGAAATTTTATATTCTCTAATTTTCCTTAATAAAATAGCAAAGCTTTTTCGCCTAGATTTGGTTGAATAAAACATATTTACAATTAATAATAAAATATATATATTATCAGATTTAATAAGAAAAGATGCTCTATGAATTTTATAGTCATGTAATTTTGTAATTGAAGTGATATTATAATGTGCGAACATAAGATCCGGTTTGAAGACAGACGTGATGAGAACCACTTGTTTCAACAATAATAGCTGTCTAGAATGACAGTCACCGTGTTAAGAATAAAAAAAAGCATATCACCTTGCAACGGCAAATTACAGACGCTTCGTCTGTCTGTCCTCGGTCTGATATGCAGATTACTTACTTAGTGTTGCCGCGTCTTGAATTGCAATTCATGTCCGCGAATTTACTTATAGTCCGTAAAAACATTCTGCGAATTGTAATATGGACCAATAGTTAGGTAAATAGTAAAATTACATATATAAGAAGCTAATTCAAGATCATACATATTTTTGTTAATCTAATCATTCTATAAATTATTTTATATAATCTTATATAGACTCCCAAAATCTATACATATGTTTTCACGTTCAGGGATGTTCTAAAATCTAAAAGAAGCCAAATTTAATAATGAAGGTTGTCTGAATTGTCCTAACTGAGGTACAAAAAGATATCATTTAATGTCATTTGTGCGATTTAAGTTCTTCCAACTACGCAATTTCCGGACCGTAATGATTAAACAACCTGGTCAAGTGCCTTCTCGCAATGCTGCTGTATGTTCATATAAAATGTCTACAATTATAGTAGTTTATAGAAAAAAGTAAAACATTTTTTTAAATGACTAGTTAAAATTAAAAGTAAAATATAATAAATTAATTTTTATTATTAAACAATTAAAATATTGAAAATTAAATAATAAATGTATTTATAATTATTTATGCAGTTAAATAATGAATTTGACAGAATGTACGCACAAACTATAAAAAAATAAAAATGATATATTGATAAGAATGAAGAAATTTTAGACGAAAATTATTTGCCACTGTTAGGAATTGAAACTGAGTGAATTATAGTTAACTATAAATTTAGAAGACAATCTAAAATTCAAAAATATGAATTTAGAGTACTTGCTTTCTGAATGATTTCTAGGGAGTTGATTGAAGGACAGACTATGAAAAAGGATTGATTATTCCGGAGGTCACAGGAGATAAGCGAAATGAGTCTAGTGCCGGGAAGTGCCCTCATTATCACACACTAGTCAATCTTTTAATCTTGCCGCGCGTTTAGAATGTTCATATTAATTTTTTTTTTCATATTTCAATCTGAGGACTATTTCAAGAACGTATTACCATATTTTGAAACCCGCTTATTTATTTTTTTAATTAGATTCAGTCATTTAAAGCGATAATTAATTTTTCCAAATTTTTGGACCCACTGTACGAATCATATTATGTTAGGTATTGACATGTCATTTTTCAATATTTTTCATTATCTAACTGAGGACTATTTGAAAGACATATTCTCATATTTCGAAGCCCGATCTTTGCTATTTAATTAGTTTCAGCCATTTAAAGCGATAATTAATTTTTCAAACTTTTAGAACCCAATATACGAATGATATTATGTTAGGTATTGACACGTCACTTTTCAATATTTTTTATTATTAAACTGAAGACCATTTAAAGAACGTATTCCCATATTTTGAAGCCCGATCTTTGATTTTTTAATTAGTTTTAGTCATTTAAATCAAAAATTAATTTTTCAAAATTTTAGGCCCAATGTACGAATCATTATGTTAGGTATTGACACGTCATTTTTCAATATTTTTTATTATTAAACTGAGGATCATTTGAAGGTTATATTCCCATATGTTGAAAATTATAAAAAAGTTTTGTTTATTACAACTCTTTATTACAATATTATCACATTCTATTTTATATTTATACATGTAATGCATTATTAAATTAAAAAAGAATTTTTTGTTTTTATACATATATAGAGATTTGATTTTCGAATAAAATAACTTTATAAATTAGTAAATTAATAACATATTTACATTAACTTTGTTAGTGTAATTTACCATATTACATTATATTACTTTACAAAATTTAATTGATATTAATATTTTGCATATAGCTTCTTCAATAACTTATTATTTTTATAGAGATTCATAAATTAGAGATTATTTAAACTTAAAACAATATAAATATGTTACTAAATTACCAATTTTCAAAGTTGATTTTTTCGAAATCAAAGACTCATATAAATAAAGTGTATTCTAAATTTATTTATTTTTACTTAATATATATCATCCTTTATAAGATTTAAATCTTATATCAAAATTTCGGGTTCATATATCCTATGCATAAATCCTAAATAGAAATTAAAAACAAAGTTAAATAATTATTATAGTGTGTATATGTTGTTATCTCTGTTTAAGTTACAATTTTCTTTTTAATCTATATTTTTTTAATATTGGTATATATAATTTTAATATTTTATTATAGAAAAATAATAAATTAGGTAACTCTTACCTATCTTTGCTCGGTTAGACTTGTACAATTTGTAAGCGTTTTCTCCTTAGAAACAAAGCTTGTCTTTTTGCAAACATTTTTTTCTTTATAGTCATCGCATAAACTGGATCTTCTAAATGTACTAGGATACTGTATTTCTGTAAAATCCGCAAAACTCCTTTGTCTATTTCAAGAAATTAAATTATTTACATTACCATTGATTTAAGATCGCTGAATTAAAAAACAAATGAAATTTTCTAGAAAATATCGTGCTTCTCACCTAATATCCGGATTGCTTTTACAAAACTTTACTAGATCGCTTTTTTTATCTTCTTCTGTGATTGATCTGGAGTGATCTGTGAGTGATCTGAAGCTTACTTCTTCATTCCTTCTCGAATCTAATGTCGTTTTTGATTCACTTTGTTGCATTCTGTTTTCCTTCTCGTTTTGTTCCATGCTTGTCTCTGAGGATGCATTAATACTTTCTAGAACAGGATCGTGATTTTGATCCTTTGAGTTCTCGATATCGTGTTCCTCTTTTATTAACTAAATATAAAAAAGGAGATTAATTACAATTCGCGTACTGCATGTATTATTATTATTATTATTGTTATATGTATACATTTTCAAAAATAAAAATTTGTTATAATAATTATTAGATGTCCGGTAAAATAACCGTATCATCTCTCACAATCAGTATATTGATAGAGCGGATTTAATTGATTGTGACCAACAGTGTTCTATTGTTTTGCAATTTTCACAATAATAAAATAAATAATAAAAGAGAAATTAATTTAAAAAGAAATCAATAAATCGGCGCGAGTATGAGAGACAATTTTACGCGATTGATTATTATAATCTCAATGCTACATCGCATAACTGGATTGTGTTTTTCCACCACGCACTCATACCGTGATTGACCGATTTAAAAAAATTAATTTTTCCATAATTATTATAATAATCGCAAAACGATAAAGAACTTTTTTACTTGGTTTTCCTCACTCTGCATTTGCATACAAGAGATGATACAGTTTTTATCGGATATGTTTACATAATAAGCTTGTTATGAATCAAGCAGCAATGTCACATTTGTCTGATGAAGTATCCCAACGAATCTTAAAATATAAAAAAACAGTATCTACATATCTCTAAATTTTTTGATATCTAAATGGCATGTAACAAACATCTTGCATATATATCTTTATTATTTGTTCATTAATTCTCACCTTATTTTGAGCGTAAAAATGTGATTGTGGCATATCGGAATGCACGTTGATGCTCTCTCGTCTACAAAAACCATCTGGTGCGGTAATCAGTACCGGAATCGGATTGATAGATGTTGGCGTTGACACTTGTATGTGTAACCCGCCAGTTGAAGATTGCAAACTCGATCCAGAAGTCATAGTTAATGAATTGTTACTGGAAGTGTCACGATATTCCGGAAACGGACTTGAGTTAAGACGTTCTATAAATGTCCATTAAAATAATTAACAAATTAATTAATTATTTCATACTGATTAATATAAAGAAGTAATATCAAATAAAAATAAATACAACTTTTCTTTCTATATTTTATCCAATTATAAAAAGTAAGAGAAAAGAAAAAGTACAAATAGAAATAAAATAAATTTAAATTTTTATATTTTATTTTTATATTTGAATTTGAATTTATTTTATTTTTTTATTTTTTATTGTACATTTTATTCTTATTTTTCGATTCTCTTATTTTTTATAATTGGATAAACTATAGAAAAAAGTCATAATTTATTTTATATATAGTAAAAAGCAGAAACAATGTTTCAGTTTTGTGTACGTGTAAATAACATTTTTTCAATCATATTTTTTATTTGCATTAGAAATTAAAAAAAAAATATATATATAATTGGATAATAAAGAGAATAATAGATTTTTACCAGCTTTTATATCGCGATGTATTGTTCGAATACGATCGAGATCGGCAGCAGAGCAAAGTGGAGTATCCACCTCGTAAGTGTTATTAAAAAGGCTGTAATTGACTTCGTATTCGCCGGTGTCTTTCCGAAAGGAAATAATGGATTGGAATCGATGACCCCACAGAATCTCCGATGGCAAATACGAGCTTCTCGCTTGCGTTGTCATGCCAGTAGATTCAATCACTCCTGTCAATATTATTAAAATTATCGTTATCATATCATAAAATATTTCAAATATCACTCTAATAAATTATGACATTTTTACAACCTTCCAACATCACGATGATCTCGAACCGCTCTTGCAACATATCGCTGGCTGATATCTTATAAAGTGGCGAATGTTGATCGATCTTATGAACAATCGTAGTGGGCCATATGAAAAAAATCTTATCCTCCTCCCCGTCGCCTCCTACTTGCAATTCCGTCTGGAAAAATGGCAATAATTCACCTTCCTTCGTAATCTGAAACATTACATTAGAATTAGAATGATCGAATAAAATGTACACATACGAATAATATACATATGCAATTAATTTCTTCTCTAAATTTTAGAAATGATATAGGTAGGGTATATAATGATGTAGGGTGGCAATTATAGTCCTACTTTTCTCTTGATCATCTGGGCACGAACGTGGGCCTCGATGATGTGGCTTTTGCGCATATCACCAACCCGAAACATGAGGCAGGGCTGGCCGTCTCGTTGACAGATAACAGCATTGCGCGAGAAGAGCAACGTTTGTGTGCGCTTTTTAGGGCGCGATAGCTTGGCAAACACGATGCCGACCATAAACGCCTGTAGAATTACTCCGGTCATCGATTGGATACATAGGATGAAAATTGCTTCAGGACATTCGTCCGTCATATGCTTCGCCCCGTATCTGTATACATTAATTTATTTTTTAAAAATTTATAATAAAAAGATATGTATAATCATTATTTTTCGGATCAATTATACTTTCGGAATTTTTCTATCAATTATACTTTCAATCCAATTATAACTTAACGACACTTTAATAGCATATAATGTCGATGCGATCTTTTGATTGCAGCTATTAGAAATAAAATTGATCGATTTTGAAGTTTTATAATATAAAGGGAAAAATTTTATAGATTTTTTAAACACACGCATGCATATATATGCAGAATGATTTTCACATGAAGTGCATTCACTATTATCGCGTTTGATTTCTTATATGTCAAGATAAATAATCTTTAGTCATTTCTATTATTATTTCTTCATAAGCAATTCCAAGCAATTGTACAATGTAACCATTTCTTCGACCGCAACTTGAGATTAAAATCAATTATCAATTCTCTAAACCGACACCGACAATTTCCCAAGAATTATCTCAGATTATTATTTTTTCGAACTTTCTGTGTATAAATCAATCTCTCAGGTTTTTGCATCAATTAGTCACAATTAAATCATAAGAAATTCAATTTTTTGCTATTCGATGATATCTCTGTCTTCTTTATTTCTATATACGATTATTTTTTTCTCGACAAATGATTTGATGAATAAGTTATTCTAATTATATTGATGTTTTATGTGATAATATATGTGTAATTTACCCGATTGTATGCTGTGTCTCGACGGAGAAAAGGAAACAACTAGTGAAACTGCGTATATCCATGACACAGGGAATGAATGTTTGATTATTATAATTGTTGAGATCCAGATCACCATGACTGTATGCGATTAACCACCATATAAGTGCGAACCCCAACCAAGATAATAAGAAATTCATAGAAAATACTAAGAGTGTCCATCGCCATTGCGCATCTACCAGTGTTGTAAAAATATCCTGCAAGCAAAATAATTTACAATTTTTATTACAATGAGTTTAGCACGTTATATATATTTATAAAAAATTAATCACAATTTATTATAAAAATTTTAAATAATATAGTAATAAAAATAATAAAATAATAAGAAATATTTATTGTATATTTATAAATTTTCTTTTAATAATATATTTAAAATAATAGCCATTTAAAGAGATACAACTCTTTATGAAATGTACAAATAAATAATGACCACCATGTTTAGATAGTATTAAATGCATGAACTAAAGAGTATTCTATTAATGTTTTATTATATTATTATTGAACTTTTACAATCAAATAGTCAGCAAATAGCCAGCAATAATCGACGTAAAGTCATGTCTTTTTATAACAACATGAGACTGCACTGCTATGACGTCGCGCAAATATTATTAAAATTAGAATAACAAATTCTACTTCTCTTTACTAAGCCTATTCACTAAACATAATGCCTTTAAATTATCATTTGTTTGCATCAACAACGAGTAATTTTTTCAAGTAGCGCTTTCAAAATATTAACGATATACGAAGTCGATGTTTAACTCTTCAAAAGATGAATCTTTCTTTCATTGTGGAACTCTTGCACGAAAAAAAGTCAGAACAATGGAAAAGAATAGTCATTATTTTTTCATTAACATATGAATTATCTGATAATTTTTTCAATAATTATCCAGTTACTTTATCAATAACGTGCAGTTAATAATAATAATAATTAATTTAAAAAAATAAACGTTGCATTTTTGTATATACTCTTTGTATTTATATATTTTATTAATTTCTTTGATCTAAATATTACAAGAAATATTTACCTGAAGATATCGCCGACGTCGTTTGGCAACATTTCCTTGTACAACATTACAGTCACCGTGTTTAAAAACAACTCTTTTTCGAACTCTTCTGGAACTAAATCTGGTTTGGCGATACCTTGAAAGAGAAATTGATCAAGTTAAATTTTTTTAGACTATATTTAATATTTTAATTATCTAAAATAAGGATTATAAATGACTATATTTAATATTTTAATTATCTAAAATAAGGATTATTAATGGGCAGTGTATTTTAATTAAATAACAAAAAATGTTTTTCATTATTTTAAAATATATATAATTTTAGTTAGAAAATTGACGTTTTAAAATCTGTTTTCCTATCAACTAATCGCAGAAGTTTGTAGATTAAAGACTCTGAATCTAATGCTACAGATTATGTATACATATGTGCTTATCGCGCAATTTTATCTTTTTAAATTTAAAGAGAACTGCATTTATCTCAGTCTGTATTTATTGTTAATTATTGAATACATACACATATTAATAATTTTCTTACTATATATAATATATAAATAAGTATTATGAATAACAAAATAATGTAATAATACAAACAAGAGATAAATAATTTAATTTATATGTAAATACATAAATACATATTATATATATTTGATAAATGATATCATAAAATCGAGATTGCAAATTTGAGTGAAATGACTATTTTCTGTAAATTGTGAATAAGTATGTTTTAACGACATTTCTAAACGCCAAAAAGCGCGTAGTGTAAAGTCGTCGTCGATCTATTTGCATCACGGGTCAATGTGTCAAGGTTGAGAGCCATGCGAAATCACGCAAATTTAGAACGTCATTTGCCAGACAACGATGTTTCATTTGAAACTAAAAGATAGCCAATTAATTCGAGATCTAGTTTCATCAAAGATATAATACAATTGCAGAAACAGTCTTTTAATAATTGTTTGCTCTTTGCATTCTCTATATAGGTAAAATGCAAATGTAATATATGTATATAACATAAGAAAAATGAGACAAATGTCATCAATTTTATATTTTTATATCTTTTTTTTTATATATAATAAAAAATGATATATGATATAATTAATTAAATGAATTATTTTTATAATTTGATGAAAAGAGATTTTTATTTTATGAATAAAAATTTAAAATAAATAAATTGTTTGAAATTAAATAATATTAAAAAATGTATATTTGTATAACAGTGCTCTCTCTTGATAAATAAATACGCTGAATGTAAAAAAAAATTCGCGTGTAGTCGGAAACATGAAAAGAATTGAATCTGCCTGATATACTCTTCCAGTAAAAAAAATTTCTACGCTTATATTATGGATTTATTGCCGTTAGTCACCATAATCGCGAATACTTTCTCGTTTTAACGACAACGTGGGCAGTTATTTCGAAACGAGAAATAACTTCTCACACGCCGTATTTCCATAATAAAATATAGGCTATTTATGAATTCTGCTTATTCGACTAAAACCACATAATAATAATAGATGGCTGCATAAATATTTCTGTCTACTTTTGTAAACAAGTTATAAAATGTTATATGCATATATTATGCATAAAATACACACACACTCAAGATATATATATAATATATAGAAGAAATCATTCTTATATAAAATATTTTTGTTATATTTTTTATTTAATATTAAAATTTATACGTAAATGACTGTTGGATGTTTCACATATCTAGCATTATATGTTTAACCTTTTGCAAACGAATTAATTTATAATTTTATAAATATGTCGGCTGTAGGAGCCTAACGCGATGTCTTTTGCGTCGGTTGTCTATTGCAAAAATTAATTTTATTGCTAATTCATTTATTATAAATTTTTTTATAATATGTAAAAGGAACAATTTAAGCAACCGGTCTTCTAAATATTTATCATATCTATCGGTTTCGAAAATCGGTTTTTTAAAAATAAATTAATAAATGATGAAAAATATGATTAAAAGAAGAAAAAAAAAATATATATATATATATATATATTATAATATATATATTATATAAACAAAAATTAAAGATTCTGATATACACATAATATAATATAACCATATAATATACATATGTATGTTATTTATTAATTTACTATTACTTTTTATTGGACAATTTTTTGATATTTTAATATGTGATTTATATTTATTTATTTATTATTATACACGATTAAAGAATAAGATTAAACAACAAGTTAACAAGAGCTAAACGTAGAAAACAAAGCACATATAATTTTATATTTGAAGAACATTAATTATATTTTAATTAATGAAGAAATATTAATGTATTATTAATTAGTATTAATTAAAGACTAATTCATTTTTTTAACAATTTAAACTTTGTTTTCTCCGCTTGACTCTTAATACTTTTGTATATCAATAATCAAATACAATCTATATATTAATAAATAAAAAAAAATTCAATATAAAATAAATAGTAAAATAACATTTAATTATGTTAATATTAACATATTTTATGAATAATAAATGTAGGTATAATTTATATGTGATAAGCTAAATGCGTGATAGTGCACATGCGTGTTAAGCATCAGTTCTCAAATCATACTAGTACGATTTAAAAAATCTTATTGTAGATTTAGGAGACATAATTAATAATAATAATATATAAATCAAATAAATGTAAAATATTCTATGATATATATACTTGTTTTATCTATAAAAAACATAAATTATCAGAATAAAATGGCTTTCTCAAATTCGTATAAGATGAGATTCAACTATATACATTGATGCAAAAATTAAATCATTGTATTTAATTTAAAAAAATTTTTTTTAATTTTTTTTAATTTTTTAAAGTTTGTAATATATGCACAAAAAGAGTTCTAATAATTTTTATCTGTATTTCTTATTATTTTATATTTTTATTTTATTAGACATTGTTTATATTGAATAATAGGAGCAAGAAATTTTTAACTTACAATTAGTACGATTTAGAAGATCGGATACTCAATTCATCATTACACACATATATATATGTACGTGTGTGTGTGTGTGTGTTTGTGTGTGTGTGTGTGTGTGTACAATATAATTATTACATGATATTTAGCTTACAAGAGTGTTTTTTTCTATAAAATGTTCGAAATACAGCATTTTACACAATAGTATACCATTAAAAACTATTTAAAGATTACCTGGAAATTTTTATTGAAAAAAATTTATTTAAAGATTTTATTAAATGTTTTAACGAAAAAACATCGAACATTTTATATAAACGTTTTATATATATAAATATATGCGATATAATTAAAAAATTAAAACATGCTATATAATTGGTGCATATAATCAATGCAAAATAGAAAGAAAAAATAAGAAAGAAAGCTTCTCGAAAACGATTACTTGAGTAATTCTTCGCTCCAGGCTGTCTCGCCGGAAGTCGTCGCTTTAATGATCATCATTGACACTTGGGACATTGTTCGTCGTAATTCTGATAATTTGCTTTTTTCGCCCAAATGATGGATTCTCCCAACATCTGATGCGCGTCGTCGTTCCAACTTTGTCGTTTTCATTTTTCGCGATCGGTGTAAATTACACAGTAACCATTTGAAAATATTGGAGATCACACAGGCTTTTTATATTGTAAAAATAAACGATTTATTCATAGTCAATGAATTTAATCAATAAAATAAACACTTACTATATTATTTGTTTATAAAATTATATATATATATATATATATATATATAACTATACAACAAAATATAATTTATATTAAAAATTATAAAATATATTTTATTATTAAGCTATTATATTTACATATATTAAAAGTTGAAAAATTATCCGACAATTATAACTTTGACAAAATGCTAATTTTTTTTTATATTATTCTCATTGAAGATTGATGCCATTGCTTAGAATCTCAATCAAAATTAAATTTATAAGATCATGAGACGATTTGTGTATGTATACATAAGTACAAATATACTTGTATGGTAAATGCACTTTATTATGTATCACAATGATGGTTACGCGAAATATTTTTGATTTAATTATTTATTATATAGTAGTAATTTTTAAATTCAAATTAAACAATTAAATTGATGACCGTAAATGCACACAGATTAATTATGATTGCTCATTAAAGAACCAAGGTTGGCTGAACACTGCACATACAATTTCGGCTCTTGGCGGACAGAACGGTTTTTCTTTGTCTTTGGCACGATCCATTGTATTTGTTGAACTGACGAGAAGAGGGGAGTTATCATTCATTAACGCTAAACTTTTATTATCAATAACGTTAAACTTTCTATTATATAAAAGTAATAAAAGTAGACATCAAAATTGAAATACATCCAAATATAATTAAAAATAATTAAATATAATATAATTAAAATTAGAATTAATTTCTAAAACTTTATTTAAATAATCTTTTAACACTCAGAGAAGCATTCAACACGCTAAATGTGATTTTATTCAGAATATTCCGCGAAGAAACTAACAAATTTCAACAATGCATTCTAGAGATATTTTTCGATAAAAAGTATATACACACATGAATTTCTCTATTATTGAATTAAGAAATACGTATATCAAAATAAAATTATGATTTACTTTAATATTTCTCTTACTTTTATTGACGTTTCAACTTTTCAAAATAGCATTATTTTTATTAATATCTTAATTATCAATTTAAAGTGTTCACTTGTTTCTACAATACTTGCAGGCCTGTTGCTTTATTTGCTTGTACACCTTATCATTCCAGAACAGGAATATATTTGTATTCGTCTTATACGCCTCAAATTTTGCGTGTAGAACAATGATAAGTCATAAATACTCAAATCGTTAAAAATTCCAAAAGTCTCTAAACATGAAAAGATTTTTTAAAAGCTTATAAAAGTACAATTCTAATTTTAATTGTTTTAATTATAATATTTTTATGTTGTCGTCAATCTTATATGTTTGAATATATTTCTCTTTTTCTCAATTTTAATATTCACTTTTATAACAAAAAGTTTAGCATTATTGATTTTCTTTGCGTCAGTTTAATGAATTGTGTCAAAGACAAAGAGATCATCGCTCTGTCCACCGAAATTGCATTTGTAATGCTCAGCCAACCTGGTTTTTTAACGAACTAATTAATCTGCATTCATTTACAGTGATCAGTTGTCTGTTCCCAAAATAGAGAGTACAGTAATTAAGTCACTAATAGCATAAAAAATATTAAAGGCTTTTCTTCTTAATAAACCAATCAGAATAAGACCTTTATTTTGATCGAGGAAAAGAAAAAATTTCCAAATCATTTTTTTCAACGGCGAAATAATACTGGGGATTCGCTATATTTGAGGTCTTATAATAGTGTATATTATGATCCAAATTATTTTAAGATGATACTGTTAGTAAATACATCATGTCGAGCGTTTAAAATTAAGTTATTGAACAAACATTGAAAATTAAGTTATTTATCATTTTCATTCATCGTTAGATATCAGTATAATCTTTTTGATATCTCAACACTTTATTAAGTTTCTAATTACTTTATCTGATTCTAACTAATTTATAAATAACTACTTTATCTAATTTATTTTTTTTATAATCTTGATAAGATATTGTATATTATTGCTCTTCACGGTGAAAAACAGCAAATGCAGTTTAAACGATCAGTATGTAACGACATTCTCACGACGTTGCCGCACGCAAAAAACGATAAGCTTTTTCCTATCGGCATTAGCTTATGCAATGCATACATAATTGCACAAGGATGTACTATTGGAGAACTATTGCTATGAAGATATTAGTAACATTGATTCTTATAAAAAAGTTATTTATATCAAACAAGAGCTAAATTATGTTTAGATCTATAAATATTATTATATAAATATTATTATATAAATAATTATTATAGATATATAAAGTTTTGATACTTGTAATGTTAATTATTTGATATACAAACATTAAAAATTAATGTTATAAAACATTATTTATATTTTTTTATTTATATATTAAAATTGCAAAATTTAAGTAAAATAATATATATCAAAAATTATTAAAATTATAATATAAATTTTAATACATAAGTTATATTATGCATTATTTCGATAAAAAAGAGATAATACATATTAATATTAGATAATAATATTGCAAAATAAATAAAAATTGATATTAAATCTTACAAAAAATATCTTACGTGTAATATTACAAATAATCTTAATTCATTGATATAAATATTATTATTTTTTATATTGTAAAAAGGCAAGAAAAGGGAAAAAATTGTTTTAAAACTGAAAATTAAAACACGGTATTGTCTCAGAAAAATGCTCGTAACTGTTTCCACTTATAAGACAGTGAACTTTCCAAAAAATTTCATAAATAATTTCCAACAGTTTATTGAGATGAAAATGAGACGGAAAACAAGGGCAAATAAAAAAATAAAAATGAATGAAAATAATAATATTAAACAATAATTTTTAATGTCAAAGCTAGAATGTCTGATGTCTAGCTGTCAGATGTCAACAAATGTTCATGTAAGACACATGACTTGAATTTTCTTCTTATTAATGAAGTAAAAAATTTTTTGTAAACGAGACAATATATTATATTTTTATCGTTATATTGACTGCAAAGTATGTTACATTCTTAATTTACATATTTACAGAATAATACTCAAATCAGTTTAATCCTATTGGCTTTGTTGTATCAAATCTTTCGAAATTAGTGTATTATAATTAAAATCGTAACACACACACACACACACACACACAAAATGCAAATTAGAATTTAATTTTTCTCTTCTTTTTTACAGTATAATGAATATATTGAAGTTTTAATAATTTAATTTATACGAATAAACAAATTTTTTATTTATTTCAATAGTTTTATATTTACAAAAAACAAATTATGTACTATGTACTTACAGCATCATCAAACAACAAAGATGAACCATTGTCGCTTATTATTAATTAATCTGATGTTATTGTGTAATGGCGTATTTTATATTCTAAACAGCACAAGTAGTAATCGACCTACTGACCAACTCGTTGGCATTTTCCGTTTAAGAAATGTTTGCGATAAGCGAAAATGAATTTGAATTATAATAGCAAGTTCATTATGGTATTTTTTCCGAACTATTACAATTTGACAATCGATATTAGTCGAAGCATATTTAGAGCGCGAAAAAATAAAATAAAAAACATAAAGAATTATATTGTTTTAACGTCATATGTGTATGTAATAAGAATATTTTATAAAATTCAAACTATCAAAATTATAACAATATCAATTATATGAGTGGTGATTCGAGAATAAAATATCATATAATAAAACTAATTTTAGATCATTTACTTTTGAATTGCGCAATCTCTCACCTTAGCAGAGGACCCGACTCGCCCTTAAAACTAATCCTGTTACAGGCTTTTCTTTTAAACGTGCTCAGAATATCCTGCCTCTTCTCATTGATGGTTTCACCTGTCTCTTCTGCGGAATCTTCACCGCATAAATTTACTGCGACTGTGGTTGCTGGCATCGACATATGCACTAATATTTTATTTGAAAGTACTATTATGATACTGAGGATTTATCCTCATCAACCACTCTTCTTTGATCTTCTCTTAATCAATTTACAATTATAATGTCCAATTTTTAGAACAATAATTGATAAGACGATTTATAGTTTAATAATTTAATTAGAATTCTAATTTGTAAATACAAATCTTTTTAAAATTAGTCACAATTAGTCGATTATCTTTTTTAATTAAAATATATTTTTTTGTTCTATTTAATGATTTCTCTTTAATACTTGAATAAAATTGTAAAAAATTAGTACAATAAAAATTATTTTTATATTTAAATTTTAATGTATCTGAAATTATATATGTATAATTAAAAATATAATTGAACTTTAAATTGTGTGTGTAATGAAAAAAAATTCTATTCTAAATAAATATCTTAATTCAAAAACGCAATTTATCTGCAAAATTCAATTATAATGAAAATAAAATGTTTTACGTTTCAAGATTTAGTAGAATTTGAAAATTTAATTGAATATTAATGAATTAATGGCAGATTTGTTTTATTCATTACTTGTTTATTCTGCGAAATTTCAAATGCAAATTCAGAAATTTATAATACTTTATAAGATGTTTTTGCGAACATCTAACTTAAATTTTTATGCAAAAATATTTGTTGTTTGTGTTAATATGTACAATTCTCGATTTTCTATTTTGTTTATTCTAAAAATAATTTGTTATATGTGTGTGTATGTAAATCTGTTTTGTAAGTTTATATGTTATATATAAAAAATATATATATATATATATATATATATATATATATATATTGTACAATATATTATATCTTATACAAAAGGTTTAATATATACATATATATGTTTATATATTTATATTTATAAATTTTACTTACAATTTATTTACCTTATTGGTATTTTCTATTTTTAAAAATTAGAACTTAATATTCTTCCTGAATTTAATAATTTATTCAACGTTATGATTTTCTTTACATCACACATATAATAATTAATTAAGTGTTTTTACATGAGTATTTTATCAATCCAATTTTGCCATTGCTTATTTCACGATCGTTTTCATCACTCAACACAAACTCATTTACCACGTCACGGAAGATCATCATATTATCAGAATATTATATTGAATTATAATTAAAGTTCTTTTTTACCACTTTCAATACAATACAATAAACACGGATAAATCACGAATTTAATTGCATCCAATGGAGATTCACTACTATTGATGTGCAGTTCGTTCAGAATCGGCAGCCGTCATTTTGCGCGCTTGATTAAGCCTCTGCCGAGATTGCGGCAAAGTATGATCGTCGCGAGAATCCGCCAAGTGAAAATAAATCGTAAGAGTGCGCGTAGGCGAGCGTGAGCGTGAGCATGTTCACGATACACGTGCACGTCATCGCAAAAGAAGGACGTGATGTGACGTGTGACTACGCAAGTAGATAAGGTTGCAGCGCGGTTTTATCAATTCCGATTTTGCAAATGTACTCGTAATAACAGGCCTAAAATCAATGCACAATTTTTATGTGAACATTTAAACTGGCCAAAATCTATTGTTTTATCAAAAACGCAACAATCTCTTTATAATTCATATTTTTATTATTGTATATTAATTGCGTATAATGACAATAATTGAAAGTTAGAAATTAGAAATTGAAGATGTTAAAAGATGTTTCATCGGTAATTCACAATTAGGGAATTGTGATTCAGAAAATGAAAATATAATTGAGATTTGAAAAATGATAAGTAATTATATAATATATAAAAAAATTATACCTGCTTTTGTCTGAAAGATCTAATTAACTTATTTGTTTTATCAAGGATCGTAAAATATTTATAAAAAATTTTATCTTTTTTTTATAGTAATTCACGTGAAAATAGTTTGTAATAACTTATGTAGTCTACTGTCTACTTTGTATTTGATTAGCTAAAGTAATGGAGTAAAAAAATATAGATTTTATTAATTAATCTATTAGTAAATACACATATGCATGGTTATCAATATTTATTGCTTCGATCTTTTTCGATCTATACATCTCTATATTTTAGATTTAATTAATTTATTTTTATTTATTTATATATCCTTATAGAGTATATATCTTTATCGAATGAATTACTGCAAAGGGCAGGTGTCAAATAATTCACAGAATTAAATTTAAATTGCAAAAAAGAGAATAAAGAGCAATGGAAGAGCGGCTATTCTCGTAAGAATCTATTTCAAGCCTCGTTTGGAAAGCATTCAAAAATGAACAAAGTTTCTCGTATAGAGTATAGGAAATAGTTTCCCAAATTGATTGAAATTAAATTATCATTAAAATACAATATATCAATATAAATTATATCATGAAGAATAATTATAAAACTTTCCTACAAAATACAATAGATACAATTATATAAAAATTTTATATCAAACATATATATAAATTGATTTGTGATATTAATTTACATATGTTTATATACAGGCAACCTTTTCTCAGTTTTTCTAATTTTACTTTTTCCAAAAAGAATAACGCAAAAATTATTTCATAATTTTTAATTATTCTTTTTATTAGTCTTTTTATTTATATATGAAGTTTTTAATTGTTATTTTTTTCTGTATATACAGACACAAAAAGAAGACATATTAATATATTTTATATGTATAATTATACATAGTTACATTTGATCATATATGGATTTTTCCCCGAGTGTAATATATTATATAATTAAATTGCAAATTTTACTTTGTAAAAAGAAACAATACAAAAAATTATACTTTAAATAATTATTATTTTTCTATCAATTTTTTAAATTATTTTTTCTATATGTATAAATAAGACTACATAATAAAAGAAAAATATATATGGATATTCTATAGATATTTTATTGATATGTAACTATAATCTATAATTTTATATATAATTATATGTACAATTTTATTTTTCGTTAATTTATCATTAACTTACATTATTATCTTTTATTACTTAATTAATTTAGTTGGTTATAATTAGAAACTTTGAATGAATAATACATACATTATCTATATATTACATATACTACATTATATACATATCAATATATTATAATATAATAATATTACGTGATTATATAAAATACTTTACATTATTTATTTACAAATTTGAAAGTATATTCGTTACTGTTTAATGTTTAATGTTTAATGTTAAAATCTCTACAGAATATTTTGATCTCAAATACAATTTACTTTAATCTGTGAATTTTTTGATCAATAGAATTCAATTTTAATCTAGCAGTCATTTTTATTAAAGAATTATTCTTATAGTATCATAATTTCATAATAATGTGCGCTATTTTATCAGCTTTCGGCATTTCAGTTCCATCATGAGAAATGTCCTCATGTTGGGATCTTGTATCTTTTCCATGATGGTCTTCTGTAAATCCACATTGGATGCTTCTAATACACTACTTAATTTTTCCGCATATTCGATCCATACGCAGTTCGCACATCCCGACATACAGCAAGTGGTTGGTTCTGTTAGATCATCAGTAGAAGTTTTTTTTGCAACATCAGTCCCATCATTGTTGTCCTTTTGTATTGACAAATGCCGTCGAGCACAGAGTAGACTTTTAGCAATGAATGGGCTCGATCGACATGTAGGATTCATCTGTTTTGGAGCAAAACGCATCATATTGTAGTATATGCAGTGCGAAATAGCTTAATGCTTCTATAATAAATAAATAAATTTTTTTCTATACTAGAGAGTTAAATTAATTTTTTGTAGTAGTTATTGTAATGTTTCTACATAATAGTTAAATTATGATTTTTTTTTTAATTATGTAAAATAGTTGTATGATTCTGTCAGTTTTTCTATCACAGTGATGATAGTTAAATAAATTAAAACAAAGGTCTTATATTTCTCTAACCTGTATGTGTAACGATGAGAGAGTGTAACACCAAGAACAATGTTGCCAACTTTTCTCTCAAATAAATTTCCATTTTATAGTGAGACACACTATATATATATATATATATATATATGTCAGCGATGTGTTCTTTAGGCTTAATATATAATACAAAAGTATAGGATGATTATATAGGACTATTTAGAAATAATAGTTTTTTAATAACTTTATTTTGCTGGCTAATCCAGCAGAAATTATCTGAGATTTTTTCCTCGTACTTTATACACTCATATATTTATTTAAACTTTTAGAATGAAGAATCAAAGTGACAGAAATTCAAATTTTATTAATTATTGTTTTGTAACAACTTATAGGAATAATAATTATTTTCTTCTTTAATAACACTTATTGTTAGAGTCACAAATATTATCGTTCGATTCTTTACTGTTCGATTAATCGAAGATCTTAATACGATTCGAATTGAGAACAAACAATTCGATTTTCGAAAAATCAAGTTATTATTAAAATAAAGATTAGCTCCGTGATGATCATTCTTTTAATAATTAATTAATCTATTAGGAAATAATTTCTTCATCGATCGCGATTGCGTATCAAATAGATATCGAAAAATCTCGATCTCTAAAGTAATCGATATATGCAATTTAGAAGCAGTACGTATAATAACATATATATCGTGTCTTTTTCGCGCAATATATTTTCTCATCAATTATTTCTAAATAATTAGAGGAACATATTTTGCGAAGGACATTAGGAGATTTATATTGTAAAGAGTATATTATATTTTTTACTATAATTTTTAACTATCATATTTTTCGTGAAGAGTATTGACAATTAATACTTTTAATTATTACATTAATTCTTATAAAGCGATTATTTGGTGAATAGAAGGAATGAAATAGGAAGATTTATATTGTGAAGAGTATATTATATTTTTTACTATAATTTTTAACTATTATATTTTTCGTGAAGAGTATTGACAATTAATACTTTTAATTATTACATTAATTCTTATAAAGCGATTATTCGGTGAATAGAAGGAATGAAATAATTCCGCTATATCGTTGCAATCGCAAAAGTAGAGCTTAGCCATTAGAGATTTGCGGCCGCTAGTGGGAAAAAGAATTAGGATTTTCGCGCGCGAGAGATCGATTAGTTCGATATATGGCAGCACTGCTCGCGCTGGCCAATCTTACTGCGGCATCATGGAACGGAGCGCCGTGATTGGCGGACGGGAGATTCGCAGCCCCGAACTCGTGCGAGCACCCGCTTTCTCAGCATGCCTGCCGCAAAGGAGGTGAACCGTCACACAAAAGCAAGATGGAGGATCTCACAGTCGAAGTATGCGGCGAAAACGGAGCATATTATAAGGTTCGTTCTGTGAAAAGTATAGAAAAAAGCGAGGGAAGAACTCGGGCGGCGGATAGGCCGTGTCACGAGCTGCGGTACGGCGATAATTTCGCGAAACGGGAGCCCGTACTTTGCGAATGCACGGCCCTCGAAATGTTGGCGAGGTAACGCGGCTTCCTTCGACGCCATGTCTCGTTTGACAGGGCGTGATTTTCCTTTGGTTCGCGATGTAGCCCGCGTTCTCGCACGAACCCACGAACGGATCCGCGGGAACGTTCGCCGGCCTCGCCTGAAATCTCGATTGCGGACAATTTTCGTGGCTGCGTGTCCCTTTGTGCATCTTTTTCGCCCCCCTCCCTCGACGAGTCGCGATTTTACGTTCTCTTGCCTCGCACACTTTTGCTCGCTACACTCCTGATTCTTATAAAGCTTGTTCACTATATTCCTCGTGTACGACTGTTTTCAGGCCTTTGTCACCGATGTCTTTGACGACGAAGTTTTGGTAACTTTCGAGAATGAGTAAGTTTTCTCCTCTTGACTCTTCACTATGAATTTGACAAGATAGCTTATACTTCTTTCTATATAACGTAATGTGAAATTTTGTGTACTGATAAATTTATTACAATTTCGGAAGCTGAATATCTTTCCTTTTATATTACATTAATGAGGTGATTTTTTTTTATTAGTAACTTTCTTGTAATATTGCAATATTCTTCAAATGCACTTGATAATTATTAAATATCTATTTATAGTCATTCAATAAAGATATAAGTTTCAATAGTCATACAAGAAACCTGTATTTCTATGAATGTATTATTGTTGAAATCTTGCTTTTTTTAATATTTGCAATTATATGATCTACCAATTTGCAAAATATTAATTATTCTTTTCCTTTTATAAATGTTAAATGATAACAAGGATTGTAGACAAAACATATATGTAAAATCAATGTAGATAAAATAAGAAATTTTCTCGCAACGATTAAAATTTTATGATTACAAATATTTGAATACAAAACGTACAATAAAATGAAAGTCGCTCCACATTTATATATGAATAAAGTTACCATTCTTTTAATTGTTGTAGATTGCACCAAATTAAGAAATATAATTATAAATATATATAATAACTTAATATATACTATTTAAACAAACACAAATATACATTTTTTATAGTTTTACTATGCTATTACATAGAAAAAAACTTGTTCATTGTTAAAACTTTAAATAATAAAAATAATACAATATGTTTACACTGCTTATAACAAATATTATATGCAATAAAATAATATAAATAAAATAATTCTACAACTTACATTCTAATAAAATTTGTAACGCATTCTAGTTGGCAACCCGAATCGAAATTTCCATTTGCTCAAGTTCGTCTACCTCCAAAAGATGGTTCCAAAACAGAATTTCAAGAGAATCAAGAGATTGAAGTATTCTCTAGATCTAATGATCAGGAAGCATGGGGTTGGTGGAAAGCACTTATTAAGGTGCGCAATGCAATTGTTAGCATTAATGACAAGTATAATACTATATTATATATGATTATAAAGACTTGTTCTATATTATATATGAATATCTATAATGTGCGTGTTATAATATGTTACGATATATATACATATTTTTTGCGAGAAAAATTACTTGAAAGTTCAATATATACTTGTACATATAAACAATTATTAAAAGAATGAGTTAAACATTATTAAATATGATTTTTATATTATATTATTATTAATTATTTATCTTTTAACTATATGACTTTTTTAGATGAGTAAAGGAGGTTTCCAAGTAGTTGAATACTTGGGATGGGAATATACATATACTGAAATTGTAGCTAGCGAGCGACTGAGAGCCAAAAATCCAAATTCCCCTATTGACAAGAATACATTTCACAAGATCGAAATTGAAGTACCTGAAGAGCTCAGAGAATTGTAAGTAATTTAAAAAAGAAAAAATAATTTGTTGTACATGATTATCTTGATTTACTTATAAATAATAATATATATATATATATATACTCAGTTATTTTGATATTTGTATCTCATTAGATTATTATAAACAAATTATTAACATCAAGCATATGTTACATATTACAGTGCAAAGATGGAAAATGCACATAAGGAATTTCAAAAGGCGATAGGGGCGGCAGTGTGCCGATATGTGCCTGAACGAGGAGTACTGCTGGCCATCTCCCGTCATGAAAATATACATCGTCACAGTACCATGCTCCAAGAAATGCATTTTAGAAACTTATCGCAAAAGGTAAATTATTTTTCTATTAGTAAAAAAAGTTTTCAGCAATTTCTTACAATTTTTGAGCCCTCGTGTGTATGTAGAAGCTGTTAGCAAATTATTAAAAAACGCTTTTATGTATTTAAAGTTATATGTGTATATTGTTTGAGAAACACTGATATATCCTATATCTTTGCACATATATTTATACAAATGGTGGCTCTATCCCATGTGTTCTTAGAAAACTGTGTATAATACGTTCTTACATTATCTAATTTTTAAGTATTTAAAGAAAATAGAGAAATAAAAATAAATAAATCTTATAATCTTAAAAAAAGTTAATTAAGTCTATATTATTTTGCTTTACATATATTTCACAGGTTTTGCTATTGAAGAGAACAGAAGAAGCAGCGCGTCAACTTGAATCTACCAAACTTCAAACAATAGGCGGGTAAGTTATTAAAATTTTATATTTGTAAATAACAAAAAAAAAATCTTGTGAGATTGTTTACCTGCCCTTGTCCATGTACTGTCCTGGTTACCATCCTGTCTGTGGTTTGCATTTACTGGCAGAAAATCAGATCACAAGATTTCTAATCATTAATTGATATGTTCGCTTTAACATCACATAACTTCGTGAATGTAACTATATATAGGCACATCATAAATAGTGTTTATTATACATACGTCTTGTTTCTTTTTCTTTCATCTCTTCTGTCACGAATATGATTATAGGTAGAATATCAATAAATTTAACATTTTTGAGGTTCGCATATATAACTGTATTTATTCAAATTTTTCTTCTGTTATAACAAAACAGGTGCAAGTACAATAAGAAATTCTATGTGCACTATAATTCATTTTCCCTTGCGTTATGGCAGATACCTTCCGCTAAAACAACATTAGATCATAAGCATGATCATATGCATCGCAGACACAATCATTATTATTTTATTAAAATTTTATTTTAAAGAAAGAATGCTATTTTAAGTATGCTAATTAAACATTTTACATAGTAACTAATGAATTAATATTAATCAAAATCTATTAAATTTTTACAGAGTTATTTGTATAAATATTCTGATCACTCCTTGAATTTATACTGCCTTTTTACTTATAATATTAGGTAGAAGAAACTGTCTATAATAGACATGCACCTTGAGAAACATTTATTAGCAAGTGAAACATAAAAAGATGAAAGATGTTGTCTTTAAAATATAAAAATATAAAAAAGTAATATATTCATAAAATATTGTAATATAAATTTTGTAGAAAATATTTTAAGAGAGGTGAGAGTTTTAGAGTAATTTACTAAAGAATTCATAATGTGTGCAAACACTGCATGGCAGATGAGACATTTTGTACATATTTTATATAATGCTTTTATATTAATTTATTATATATATATATATATATATATATATATATATATATATAATAAATTAATCATTTTGAGAAAATACTAACATGGATGTAATTAGAATATATTGTGTGATAGAAAATTTTCAATTCATTTTTTAATGAAATATATATATATATATATATATATATATATATATATATATATATTTATTTATTTATTTATTTATTATTTTCTTTCTAAATTTTTATAAATATAATGCAGATATAAAAATATGTACATAAAATACAATAAATTTTGCATAAATATTTTTGAAAATTGAAACAAATTTATACACTAGTGTCTGCATGCATTAATTAACAACAAACAGACAGAATGGCAGGGACATAGGATAGGGCCATCTTATAATGAGTTTTCACTGAGTTACACCATTTTCATTTCAGCAAATTTAGATCTTCAAACTTTATATATCAGCGTGTCTCAGACTTTGAGGCAGGAGTGAAAACAAATTCAAGGTGAGATCACAGCAGCGTGGTTTAGAATTAAGTTTAGCTTACTGTATGACAAGATACACTTACATTTTTTCAAACGGAAAATAAATCTACACTTTAAACGTGCATGCTTCAGCGTTGTGTAGTATATTCACTGAAATTCATGTGCTTCAAGTGTACTGACTATATAAGACAATGATTTATATCTTTCTCCATTTATTATGTGCTGTGTAGTAAAATCTTGCGTGATTGGTGAAGTAGCCAACAGATATATACGTGTAGCTGTGATCAGTTCTCGATTTCATTTTCTGTTATTTATATATTAAGTAGATTCTTAATTCTATTATTTATCTCGTATCAAGAACGCGCCGGAATTTGGCCTGCCAATTGTTTGAGAAACACTGATATATCCTATATCTTTGCACATATATTTATGCAAATGGTGGCTCTATCCCATGTGTTCTTAGAAAACTGTGTATAACATACACGTTAAAAATATTGTGGAAAAGTATTCATTAGAACAGTTTTACTTTTAAGAATATATATTTTTTAATTATAAGTATTAATGTTAGGGTACTTTGGTTTAGCATATCTTAACTAAATGATCTTTGTTAAATAATGTTTTATTACTACTAATTGTATATCTGATACAATAGCTTCCTCCTTTGAAAATAAAAATTGTCTATATCTTTTAGTATAATACAATGATATAATGAAAGTATATTATAAATATAAATAAACTGTAATCTCAGATTATTTTTATTTTTTTATCTTTGAAATAACTGGGTATTATATAAAGTATATTTCTACATTGTTTATATTAAAAAGAATAATAAAGTAATTAGAATATGTGATTGTAATTAATGAATGCATGTAACGTATAGTTTAACATTATGTTTGGTATTTTTAATCAGAGTTTTATTTGTTATATTATAAATTGTATTTAAAAAATATTTTTCAAATTGTTCCTCGCTTCTAACTGTAAACATTTACATATATTGCATGACTTGTATCATTTTGAGTATATCAGATACAATGCAAAACTGCCATTTTTACAGCTTTAATAGAAATAATTAATTTGTATCTGCCAAAATGCAAGCCATTGACAAGGATACTGTTAGGAAGATATGCCACATTGGTTTGCTTTTCACAATATTGATCTAATTATATAGCATGTGTACAAATTATATTACAAAGTAAATAATTATATTAATTAAAAAACAATTTTTTAATTAGAATCGAGAAATAGTTAAAGAGGAAAATATATATACATAAAAATTTTTATACAAATTTCAATTTGTTATAAATTTTTAATGTTTTGCTATAATATATTTCTTAATTTTTAAGTTTTTTTTGATATTTTTTATTTTGCAAATAAATTTGTAAAAAATGTAAAAATTTTATTTTTTTATCTTTTAGATATACTGACGAATTTAATGTTCGAGAAGATCTTATGGGGCTAGCTATCGGTGCTCATGGTGCAAATATTCAACAAGCACGAAAAGTTGATGGCATTACAAATATAGAATTAGAAGAAAATTCATGCACATTTAAGATATATGGAGAGGTAATAATAAAAATTGTAATGTTTATAATGTTAAGATAAATTATTTTTGAAAAATGTTTGATACCTGAATATATATATTGAACTGATAATAGTAATACTTGAACTTACTATATATATATATATGTTTTTTTTAATCTTAGACGCATGAAGCTGTTAAAAAAGCTCGATCTATGCTGGAATACAGTGAAGAATCTATACAAGTCCCACGAATTTTGGTAGGAAAAGTAATTGGCAAAAATGGTCGCATTATCCAAGAAATTGTCGACAAAAGTGGTGTTGTAAGTATATTTTTATTATTAGTCAATATCATATGTAATAACATATCACATCTACATACATACATACATTTAATGTATGTATGTTCATGTGTATGTATGTGTATATATAAGTATGTGTGTATGTATGAACATATGTGTGTATGAATGTATGTATTAAATTAATACTTTCAGAAGTAATTATCTCAGGTAGGATTTCTCATATCTGATTTAACAGTGTCTGAGAAAATAATTGAAGATATTATATAAGCATATCAATTTTCATTTTCAGTTGATACAATATAATTTTTTATTAAAACTGTTAAATTTAATACATAGATTACATGTAATACTTTACAGATCCTCTACATCTACTGATATATGTTTATCTCTCAGGGTATGTAACAATTAACCGAAATTTTTTAACATGCGTTTTAAGTATAACGCGATTATTATAGTTCCATTTATATATATTACAATATACAACAAATTCTCAGATTGTTAACGTCGGGTTTATATTAAAAACTATAGCTCAAAATTGACGTAATATTCAATTGAAAATGGAAGTTTCTTTTATTCACGAGGTGTTAGGTTATATATGATATACCTTGTCTGTTCTCGGTAGATAACAACTGGCTCGAGTGGGAATATACATATTGATAAAGTAAGTATGTCATTTTCTATTGTTTGTGATTTTATTCCATTCAGTTCATTTAATCAGTCATTCATATCTATCGATGTCTGGAAGCACTCGCAAATCTTACATGAACCACTCGGGCCAGTTCTTTTAAATTGTATCAAATAACTATCTTCTTTTTATACAATCAGGCCTCTATTCATATTTCACATTTAGCACTAAATGTGATTGTCTCATTCTGAATGCTATTTGCCTTAAGCATTAAATATCAGAGTTATACTCAGCGTTATCATATGGCCTGATAATTATATGGCCGCATTTGACGCTAAATGTGCATTGTGTATATGGACCTTCTTAATGTACATGTGCATTATAAGCAGTATTTAATGCATAAGTCGTTCCATGTCCATGCATTTGTTTTTTGTCATCGATTATGTTTTGAAACAAATATTATTTAAAAATATGCTCACAATCCATTTAATTTGTTGAAAATTTGATTAATAATAATTGGAGGATAATAATTGACATGGCATTGCTCCTGTCAAATAATAGGGAATATATTAAATGGATGGGATTACTTAATACATGTGGGATTTTTTGTACTGAAATTATCAGTTTTCAATTAAATACAAATTTTGTGAATTGTATACGGAATATTCTATGTAATTGGTGATATTAAAAAAAAAAAAAAATATCTTTACAGTAACATGAATATTTATATTGTTATATTTTACTACATAAAAAAAAAGAAAAAAAAGAAAATCTCTTAATTTGTTTATGTATTTTTATGTATCTCTAAAAAATATATATTATTATAAATACATGATATAAATATAATTGCCACATGCTTAATGTAAAATCGTATAATTGCAATACATATATTACTTAAAAAAATATCCTATCTAAGAAAAGGTAAAAGTATCAACAAATTATTTTTTCAAAAACAAAAATCCTTTTGGGATATAAAGGATGTAAAGAATATTTAAGCAAATTTTCACAGACTAGTCAACAAGTCTATTGATGGAAATGACAAACGCCAGTGACTGAAAACTGATGGTATGGATATGAAATACGATTTTAAATGTCTCATATTGGTAATCTGTATTACTACATGCGTTTAAAAAAGCGCAATTTTAATAACTACAAATTTCAGGTAAGGGTAAAAATAGAAGGAGACAACGAACCTCAGCCAACGATTCCACGGGAGGAGGGTCAGGTCCCCTTTGTTTTTGTTGGAACTGTTGAAAGCATCGCCAATGCCAAAGTTCTGTTGGAGTACCATTTGGCACATTTAAAGGTATGTCGATATATGTGTCGATAATTCTAATATATTTTATATAGAACTAAGTCATTTCAATAAAATTACAAAATAAATGTGAATATTGAAGGATTATTTTATGATTCGTATTGCAGGAAGTAGAGCAACTTCGACAAGAAAAATTGGAAATTGATCAACAATTACGAAGCATGCATGGGTCGACTACAGGACCGATGCCTAGTTTTCCACCTACAAGACGAGGAATGGTTGCGGGACCGGAAGAAGGTGTCAGCGGCCGTGGAGGTCGTGGTGGTCAATCTCGAGGACGTGGTTCGCGGGGTAGAGCTCCCACCAGACATAACGCCGGTAATATTATTTAATACATCGTACAAAACTACGTATTCGCACAAAAATATATAAAATTAACAACATTAAGATATATCTTATATGTATATCATTAATAAATCCTGAATTTTATCATTTTTTAAATATAATTTATAAATTATATTAAATTCCATATTTTTGTGAGAATATTTCGTGATCATTTGTTTTGTAAGAATATAATTATTACTTAATGCATCACATTGCATAAAACACCACGTGTATTCGCACAAAAACATATAAGATTATCGTTAAGATATTAAATGTGAACTTTATCGTTTTTAATATAATTTTTTTAAATTGTATTTTTGCAAGAATATTTCGTGATACGTCATTTATTTTGTAGCGAACCTAGTTTTTGAAAGTTATAAATTAGTCAGTGGGCAATATAAACAATGCAAATATCTATTATAAATAATAGTCTGCATTTATTAAAAATTTTACGCGATTTTTAGGATTGCGTAGAGATGCTTTAGATAGCAATGAAGATCGTGTACGAGAGTTACCGCCAAGAGGTGGTCATCAAGGAGGCGCCGGTAACTCAGGGTATATGAGTGGCAGGCAAGGTCGTCCTCCAACCCAACGTAGAGATCGTAGAGATGAACGTCGTCGTACTACCGATGACGAAGATACTGTTTTAGACAGCCAAGACGTTTCAAGTATTGATAGAGGTAATAATATTTATCAGTATATGAATATATTTATACAAGATGTCTTGAAATTTGTGAATCATCTATTAATGGCAGATTCCTGGAATCATTTAGAGACGATTTTTCCTCAGCGAAAATATCGAGGAAAGGTATCATTTTTTTGCATATTTTTTCAATAAATATTATAATTTAATACATCATATATAAAACTACGTATATTCGCACAAAAACAAAATTAACAGCATTAAGATATATCTTATATATAATTAATAAATCCTGAACTTTATTATTTTTAATATAATTATATATTAAATTTTGCCATCATATATCTTTATAACTAACCCTTAAATTAAAATTTTAATAAACTCTACTTTAAATTAATTGAAGAATATGGTTTTGTTAATATTTTATTTTCACGCAAGGCTTGGTTTGCGAAAAGCCCTTTATTTTCAATTGCTTATAACTCGAAAATTATTGGTGCCTCAATATTTTTGCTGAGAAAAAATCGTCTCGAAATAATCCTAGGAATCTGCTATTAACAGATGATCCGCTAATTCTAGGACACCCTGTACATATGTATATAAATATACATATATGTGTGTGGATATATGAGTGCGTGTGTGTGTGTGTACATTTGTGATCACAATCATAATCATTTCGTCCTAAAGATATGACGTTTGTTATATAATGCTTTGAAATTAGCATGAAGCATCAAGCAAACTCTTGTGACCATCTAACACTAATTATCGAGTTTTTACTCTGATGCATGCTACTAACGTATGCGTATCTTCTACTATATTTTTGTTGAAGGGAAGGCTAATTCTATTTTTAAATATTAGACTTTATTGCACATGTCAGATAGATGGTCACAATGGTTTGTGTATCTGTAGAATCAGTATCAAGTGTGGAAGGAGGCTCTAAAGGAATAAGACGAAGACGACTTCGGCGCTCACGACATAGAAGTTCAACGCCAACAAGTAATAATCAAACAGGTAATCTTATCTTTAGGTAGCAGGTTTACGTGATCTTATCTTTAGGACGATTGGTTATATTAAGAGAAGTGCAATAATAATTTCTAAGTAATTAGATATTTTTTGGTTACACACATTTAGTTTCTAAGTTGATACATGCCCGCATACACATACACATTTGTATATACGAAAACATTCAGAGTTAATCTATGAATTTGTTTAGGCAGTAATGCCGGCCCGTGCGACCAATCAACAATGAATAGCAAGGAAGGAACACCTGCGAACGACGTTTCTATGTCTAACAACAGTTCCCAAGGACCTAAAGGCCAGAGAGAACATCGGTCTCGTCCTCCTCGTATGCAACAGAGCAATAAGCCTAAGGAAGCTTTAGTTAACGGTACCAGTGGCTAAACAACCATTGCGTTGTTGACAATTGCTACCAACATTGCTACGTTACACCTGATGAGAGCTGTTAACTCCCAGCACGTAACATGACGCATACCGACGCAAGGATTACACGATTATGGAACGCGACATGATTAGTCTACGCTCGTTGTTAAGACTGTTTGCTACCGATAAGAATACGACAGTTTAAGAAATCGTCATTCTCCTTAAACACATTTAAGGACACATATTAATATCCATGCATGGTTTAGTTTAATGATGGTAATTACACTGTCATGTTTGATATATGGATACATTCATTGGGAGATAGAGGATAGCATTTGGTAAGAAGGATTCCCTGATTGTGAAACTGTGCCTCATTTTTATACCGAGCTCCTAACTTATGTGGCAGTGCTTCGGATGTACTGTACAAGTACACCTTAGTCACTTATTAACGTTTAATGATCCGATATTAGGCTGGATAATCGCGGCTCGTACGTCAATTATCGCTCTGGGTAGGTTTCATCTAGATATGTCGCGCTTAGTACTTCTAATGTAATTCGGTAATTTTCGGTTTATTTTGGCTCTCATCTTTATTAATATCCGATAAACAAATTCAGTGTTTTTCGAATGAACTTTAAATTAAATTACATTATATTAAAGTGAAATACTTTAATTCCTTTTCTAACAACTTCGATATTGATGCTCTATATAGAAGCAATTCTGCAAAATGAATGCGACATAACTAAGATGCAACTCGATGTGCAAGGAAAATGAATTTCCGTTGTTAATTAATAACAATGGTAGGCGGCAGCTGTAAAAAAATTCTGGTTCAAAGGTATTCCCAATGATGTTCCTTTCTATTTACTTGAGGAAATTGAGTTTTTGATTTATAATTATTAATTATATTTAACAACACTAGATTTTTATGTTTCAATTGCCTGAGTGTTGAGTAATAATATCATGATTGAAAAAAATGACTTATTCGAATGTAACACGATCAGATGTGCACAAGGAGTCGGTTTTTATTTCCGAATACACTTTTCACATAATTTAGTCTTTTTTTCTTTTTCTCTTTTTTTTACTTTTACTACAGTCTAAGCATACTATATCAAACTTTAGGATTTGATATCAAGTTCGTTTCTGCATTGTTTCTCATGATTTAAAAAGAAAGTAAACGTATACTTAGTAATACCAATGTATGATGTGCCAGAGAAGGAATGATACATGTTTTATGATATCTAGCTAAAGTGCAGACTTAGCGCATACCTTTATTACTATAATACTACTTAGTCGAAATGTGGATGTCTGAACAAATAAACTAGCTTTACTATACTAAGCTATAAAATAGATATGATCAATTGTTTTAAATTGATTATCAATATTATTAAAAATCAGTTATCAATTTAAAACAGTTGTCTTCTTCCGGATATGACAACAACTAATCGGACGTGTCTCATGAATTTTGCAAAAACACACATGGTGGTTGATGCAATATATTGACACCTAACACAAAATAGCTGCCATTTTATCTGAATATTCTTATGGCAGCCAAAAAAAACTGAGATATCCCCCAACTTGCTTGTTTCAGATACATTTGTATTGATTGCAATTTGTGCATAATTTAAGAATAAAACATTTCTGTACATAGACTGGCCATTAATATAATGAACCTTGGACTTCCTCTAATATAACAATATAATTTTATTAAAACTACGCAATAAATAATATTTTTTCTTAAATTAATTATTTTTGTTAATGAAAAATAATTAAATAGTATGTATGCTTGTATATACTATTTAAGACTATTTGTCATTAAAAAGAAAATAAAAAATAAATATATATGTATATATTTACGCATTAATCTAAATGTTTAACTATATATGTTCAAATAAAAAAAACTACGTTTATAAATTTGACAAAATTTTAAACTCAATTACATATTCAATCTAATAAAAACTTTCAATTGCTAAATAATCGATTTTATGAATATGAAGTATAAGGTACATTAAGGCGCATAATTTGCCATCAGTCCAGTTTCCTGTGTGCGTACATAAATCAGAATTTCAGGTACAAAGTGAAATAACATTGTCGCGTCTCCCAGTAACAATCAGTGTAATCCAATATTTCCGCCAAGACCCTGTTCCTTCCGCCACTGAGCCAATCTGATAGCGTACCATCCCTGGAACACAATTTACTTTATCACATTTCATCTTATTTCACTTCATTTGTTTCATTGAATAATATGCAAATTTTATTTTATTCGTGTTATAATGTCATTATTTATTGTAGCTTGACATATGTTTACTTACTTCAACATCAGCCTCGGATAGACCAGTTTCAGCCGCGAGCAGTACAATGTCCGCGGTATAAGGTGCTCTTGGCCACCTATTAAACTGTTCTTGAAGAACCGCTTCCTGGTCTACTGTCAAGCGAATCACCCGGGTACCACCAGTTCCACTAGTGGGAAATCGCGTGGGGTAAGACTTCAGCATGTTTCCCTCCTGAAAAGAAAATATATAACATAAATTGATAAGAAAAAGCAATCAATATAGAAAATAAACTCTACGATATAACATAGTGTAATACAAAACTAGAGTTGACTTCTATATTGGTATTGCTACTTTAAATATTAATTTATTCTCATTGTCAGTGCGAAATCGTGAATTAAAAAAACAACTTCCTTTTTGTTTAATAAATCCATTGAAATGATATATTCTATTCTGTACATAAGAAGAAAATGAGCTACTAAAATAATTCAGCAACAAACAAGACAATTGTCTTAAATAAGATTTTTAATTAATTTAAATTTAATTTTTAAATTTTTACTTTAATTAAAAAATATATTTTGGTTCTCTCTCTCATATGTATTATCTAAAAAAGTTTCTTTGAAACATGAATGTTAACACAAGAAAAAACAAATTATACAGCAACAAATAGAAATGATTCATTAACATGGCGCGAATATGGATCTTCTATATTATCATTTAGATTTAGAACGACGAACATGCTGTTCTGTCGTAAAATGTGTTTGCGTTCTGTCAGTTCACCTTTTCTTACATAATGGTTCTATATTACAACAGAATTGGCATCTGTACAAGTAATCGATACATAAGTTTGCATATCATGTATATGTATTTTCAAATTCGCGTATTTTTCTAAGATTTCGAATTGATTTCTTTTTTGTAGCTATTGAGCTATATTTATTCCAAAACATAGATTTATTTTAGCATCTACGTAGCCGCGAAAGAAATTTATTTGTGTATTTTTTTATTCATTTTGTGATAAACTACAGAAAATTTTTAGAGACCCGCTAGAAAGTCACGGTAAATAAGCCAGGAAGGTAAGAATAGCACGACATTGACCCAACATCTCAGGGTCTGCGAGATTTTGGATACGTTTCAAAAACGTGGCGACATAAGTTACGAAAGAGACACGAAAAAGACTGATGAAATCTGTAATAATCCGTAATGAATCCGTATCACGCGTATAGGTGGCCAAAGAGAAGACACAATAAAAAAATAAAATTTACCATTTTTTTTAAATAAATCAAGATTGTACAAAGTGTAAACAGACAAAGTAGAAAATCTTGAATCACACGTAGAATCTTTATTTTTTTTTTATTCTAAATATTTCCTCCTGTTTTGCTATTTTATAATATAATTTCTGCAGCGCTTAAATTATTTCGAGGGAGCAAAACGTGCAGATTAATATATATTAAAATATTATTTATCGGCTCTCTCTCTCTCTTGGACAGTATCTGTGTTAAAACAACCTTCCTACGATGTATAACGTAAGGTAAAACGTAGGTGATGTGACATTACGAATGCCTTGAGACGCCGCGCTAGTTACAACTTAGCGGAATGTTAAACTTGACCTACAGATCGAATCGCATACCAAGTAAGTAGATGCGAACTCGTTTACCGAGGATGACTTCTACGATCGCACGTGGCTTTTATCTTAATTCAGAAATGTTTGCATGCAGAAATAAGGCGTGACCGTTTATCATCGATTATTGCATGTTGATGGTGAATATGCAACCTTCGCATATACAAACAACGGCAGTTGAACATTGAGCAAAAATTTGCATAATGCCACTTTAATCTATTTCTTTTTCTATATAGCGATTAATTTTTTAACGAATACGCAAAGAAGGCCATCGCCGCAAACAACTTGATTAGTATATTTTTTTTTATAACGGAGCTTTTATTTTCTTCGTCATTTTCCGATAACTTTGACGACACGATTTGATAGATATTTTTAATAATTTATTTTTTATAATTTATACGTATATACTCTATATTTCTCTGTAACAAAACACAAAATGCAAGAAGTTTAAGAGCGTGATTGTTTTTTATTTTTTTAATATAAACATTATGTGTGTGTTACAAAAATGTTAAATATATAAATGTTTATTATATTTGTTGAATAATAAAATTATGAATTAAAAGTTATAAAATTTAATTATAAAATTGAAAATAAATTACGTGTTGTGAAAAATTAAATATAAAATTTAAATATTTTCAGGAATTAATAAATCTCTACATTTAATTACAATAAATTTTTTTTGAACAACATACAAATTTCGCCTTATTTTAAATTGATAAATCTACTAAAAATAAATTTCAAAAAGATTGGCTTCACATTTCAGTCGAAATGCACTTCCAATCAAAGATGGGCAAAGAAAAGACGAAGTTTTTCTCATTTTGAGTTTGCAAAAAATTTAATAACTTTATACTTATTAAATAATTCTGCTACATGATATAAATGCAAAATAAAAAATAATATCAAATTAATTTAATTTCTTTATTTCATTACATCGTCTTATTTTTATTAATAACTCGGAAAAAAATAGTTACATTTATTTTTCTTTTTTACTATCAATCTCAATTTTCGAAAATATCTTCAGAAAATATTTCATACGTCGCCAAAGTTCTCAGAAAATCTCCTCTTATTTTTATAATTAAATAATATATTTTTCGGTATTTTTCATACGTTATTAAATTCGTAAAAATGTTTTATTGTTTGAAATATAATGGACTTTCTTCTATGTCCACATACATTTGGCGTTGTTTTTGCGGTGTGCAATACATCGGTAAATCATCTTCGTGAAATTCCAAAAAATTTAAAAGATTGTCTTCGAGTTTTCGATGATAAATCGAGCCAGCATATTTATATTCGATGTAACGTCGATCTTTTTCAGATATCTATACAAATAGCGAATTCTTTCAATTTGTAACATTTATTAGTAGCTATACCTACAGGGAGAAAAATATGCATATTTTTGATCATGCAATCTGTTAGTTAAAAAAACTCACATCTTTCCATTTGGATTTGATTAAAGCGTGCATGCAATCATCGATCAAGAAATCGCCGTAAGCATCCTATATATCGAAAAAATAAGGACTAAATATCGCTAAACGTAGGTGTATCAAACAAACGGCATCTTACCGTCTGTGACAGCAAAGTAGCTCGATTTTCAACTCGTAGGCATTCAAATTTATCATGAAAAATCGCTTCAGCCCAAGGTTCGCGAAAGTATGCGTAAAAATCCGCAATATATGAATTCTGATCGATCGAGAACAAATAAATAATTATTATAAGAAATGTGGAAAATATGAAGCATACTGAAATTTAATAAATCGCTTTTTATATTGTCATTAGTCCTTACTCGAAAACCGAATTTCAACTCGTTTAACATACTCTCGTGTTTTCCATACAAAGAGATCATATTTTGTACTCGAAATATCTAGAAAATAATTATAAGTCGCATTATGAAATCGCATCTACGGGATATTGAAAACAAAGGTAAAATATTTTAAGGGGGATCATCAAATAAGTCGAAAAGTTTTAATAAACATTTGGATTTGGAAATAAAAACCGATTTTGAGATATTTGAATTTTTTAATATATTTTTTACTTCTATAATTTTAATTTTTAGTTTTTATTTTCATTATAATTTATGCAAAAATAACAGTTGGTATCTTATCTTAAAGAAGATGGTCAAAATATTCCTATGTCTAAGCAATGTCTATGATATTACAAGTATTTCGAAAATGACTTGTTTGCAGATTATTTCATGATTATTAAAACTTAAATTTATTTTGATGTATATTAAATCTCCTTAAAACATTTTACCTTTTCTTAACACTATCTTAAATGACAAATATACGCAGCACATAAACTAAGGTCACCTTTCTATTAATACAAGTTATAGTTTCCACCGAGTCGTACACGTTTAATTTAATACGGAAATAGCCAATTTCGGATGTGCAAGAACCAGTCACAAGCACTTCTCCCTGCGCATTAAAAATCAACTGCATTAATGCAATTATTTGTACGAATATTTTCTTCGATATATTTTGACTAAATTTTATTAATGCCGAAATAGCAACATTTTATTCGCGTATTATTCCAAATAATTCTTTCAACTGAAACTCACGTAAAAATTGTCTCTACTCGTCACCTGGTCTCGAATTTTCTTGCCGGGTTTGTGTACATGCAAATAATAATAATTGCCCGGCAAAATGCAAGCGATTACGATGGGTGCACGGAATACCGGAAGTGTCAAGTGTACATTTTCCTCTTTCGAAAAAGCAGGAACTTGCTCGTCTCGACGATGAATATCGATCACTCTTCGTAAAATTTGAGCAAGCTTCGGATATAAACAAATGCAGATAAAACGCGAACATTTCAATATATAATTGACATTATATTACATTAAAAAAAAACCAAGAGTTCTATTTTATACACTAACTCTCTCTCCGACTTCCACACTATTATAATATTTGTGTCGCCAGGATTTAGCATAAAGCTTTTTGGAATATTTCGTCATGGTACCGGCGGCAAAAATAAACGGATCGTTCGTGCGAAACTCGGAATCTATCACTAACAGACCATCGAAAACGAGATCGGCACGACGAATTGCTGAAACCGTAAAACTATATAAAAAATCATATCGGTTAAATGCAGCTTTGAAATGTCAATGATGAAAATTAATGAGTAAAAATTACCCCAAAATGCGTTTAAATTAATCGTTTTCTCGTAGAAGTTAAACAGAGCATCGCAAACTATTTTGCTTTTTTCGCCTTTCTTTTCGATTATGACACTGTCGATCATCAGCTTCCCGTCATTATCTTTTGTCAGGACCCAATCGATCATGTTCCATTCGCACAAAACTTGAACTTTATCTTGCAAAATAGCTTTCATCACTGCTTCGTTCACCTTATATACGAATATATATATATATAATTTTAACTACGCTATTAGTTCTATAAATAGAATGTCCCTTAATTTATGGGACCTACTTGAAGAAAATGGGGACACTGTTTATATAAATATATAACTATAAATAAGTAGTGAAAAATCACATGGCATATTATTTTAACCATACTTCGCAATCGTCAAAAAAGTCGTGCGTGTTGCAGGGATTCAGGATCGGCTTGATTAATGTAATCCACGAAGGTTTGATACCAAACTTGATTAAACCGCCGAGTGCGCAGTAGCAATCGATATTACATCCATAAAAGAATATTGCTTCTAATAGAATCAGACGATATTATGAAATATTACAAAATAGCAACTTGGTTCATTGTATTGCGATTGCTCACTCTTTTCTTTGAGATCCTTTGTTAACAACCGAATTTTTCTCAAACAATTAGAAGCTTCTGTGTCATCGTTTATAGTTAAATAATTCCACGGTGTCCCTTCTGCATTCATCCTTGGAAAATATATATAATACATAGTATTTTCTATAAAATGTAATTACCGTCATGTATAAATATCTTTTTATATTAATGATTCGATATTAATGACCACTTTACTCTTGTTTTTCCGTTTCTGTTTTTCTGTGTAATATCGGTTTTTGATATTGCAAGCCGCATGTTAGAACCAAATAATCGTAAGCGATATTTCCTTCATTCATTACACTTACGTATTTATCTTTCCTAATGCAAATACATATGTATTGATTTATATATTGAAGCGATAGAAGAGGGAAAAATATATAAAAATACATCTTTTTCATATTAAAAAAATTAAAGGAACTTCAATATCACCTGTGGATCTTTGTCATAATGCCATAAACAATATTAATCCAAGCTCTCGCAGGCATACAGCGACGATATTCTGAACAAAATTTTCCTTTGAATGGAAGTAGACATGTTTCTGCACGATTTGGTTTATTATCAAAAGGTATACCATGTGGCGATATCAATGTGACATTTGTAAACTGTATATAATGTTGCATCGACCTATCAAAATTTAATATTATCAATGATTAAGAGAATCTATTTTTTTTTATATTTTTGAAAAATTATTATGTATAGTGATATATTTTTGTCGAATATCGTTATAATTAAAAAAATTACCGTAAAGCAAGATATTCCGCGAAAGCAATTCCACATTCCGATGCTCCAACAATAACGATCCTCATATCAATAATTACACGTGGCATCATTGCCAATCTTGGTGACGTAACGAATAAAGAGAACCTGTTGTTATCATCGCCATTCTCTTGATTTATTACGTTATTTTCGCAGCTATTAAGATTTTCAGAAATGATGGGAAATCTATATTCAGCTTGCCTACGAGGATTAACTGGAATCATATCATCCAAACAAGACACCAAAGGATGCATTCGTGTCTGCAAGTAACATTTTAATATTAATATAATAATATTAATATTAATGTGTAATATTTTTTATTTTTTTTAATATTTTTATTTTATTTTTAATTGGCGATTTTGCTTACGAAATATTTTACGAATCAAAATATTATCGTAAAGCTCACCAAGACGCTCTCATCTTCGTGATGAAGCCGATAGAAGATTACCGTTAACTCGCTTAAACGAGCAATCTCGCGGAAAAAGAAGCGATGGTAAGCGGAGAAAATCGGCATGAGAACAAAATGCAAAAGGTGTCCGTAATTATCTTGAGGAATACTCCGCATGGACACGTAATCTTCTATATGATAATGTTTTTTAATTAAATTAATTTGCTTCTCGGCGCTACAATGAAATAAAACGACAATATTCCTACTTGCCCTTTTTCATATAAATATTTGAAGTTTTCATTAAAAAAGAACTGTCGATATAAAATAATAACCGTATTATAGCGAGTCCAACCATTGTATCGTTGCATTCGAAGACGAAACAATTTAGGTCGAGCTGCAAAGGATCCATCGCAAAATCGAAGTCAGTCAAAATTTCGTTGTGTTTTGGTATAGCGAATAAAAGTTCCTGTATAGATTTTCGGTCTTGTATTTTGGCGCAACGACACTTAATTTCTTCGTGAAGAAGCGCTCGATGTACAATGTATAACGTCATTGGAAAATCCTTATTACATCTCAATGGTACGCACTATATCGTACAAGATTGTTTTCGATTGAACATGTAAAATAAATACCATCTTTTCTTCCTTCTCATACAATATTTTTATGAATAATCAAAATGATAAATACCGTAAAATGTTGAAGAAACTGATAGTACGGATGCGAAAAAGGGAGGACAATCGCACAATATTCTAAATGCGGAAAACAATCAAAAGCAGCCTCCAAAAATCGTAGGACCAATGGGGCCTCATCTCCTCGCGCGTGGCAAAAATTTCCAAAACGAAGACATTTATTTTATCGTGATATGTTGGAACATCGTGAATGAGTTGCGTTTGCATCATCTTGTTTGCATCGTCTTTAACAACAAGTAGAGAATTTTTGTAAAAGAAACTTTACATGCACTATCGCAACAATATATGCATTATATAAATGCTCATTGAAACGATTATCGCAATTTCTTAATTCATACTCTCGCGTTTTTATCTCTTAAAAATTCTAAAGAATATTATAAAAGAAAATCAAAATGAGAAATGCAATTAAATTATCTAATTAATCAATTAATCTTCTTTTTTAGCGTCTTTATTCTTGGTACTTGGTAATCTCCGTATTTTTAGCATATTTTTGCGCTGCTTTTCTTATGTCATGATTACTACTTAAAATAAAATACATCATTGTGTATGATGAAAACAATATTTCATTTTGCACATATGATATTACAATCATAAAAAGAAACTTATAGACGGAGTCTTTAACGGGGAAACTGATAATAGCGATAAGAGAGGCAGTACTTTAACTTTGGTGTACTTCGGGTAATCATATCGGCGCGGTTCGTAATAAGCAACTCTCAATGTGTTAACATTTATACATATTCACATAAGCTCAAATATTATTAACTGAATTATTATTGAACCTATAATCGCGCGAAGTAGAAATTAGTGGTTTGTCAATTAATTATCTATATCGGGGCAATATATTTAAATATTTTATTTTTTAAGTCGATGATTGGAATAGAAAAAAATGGAAAGAGAATATTAAAAAATTGGTTTGATCTTCTAAAAATTAAAATCGCTCGTTTGCAATAAAATTAACGTCTAGATAATATTTCTCTATAGCATCTCGGATTTATGACTTACGTGACAAGATAATTCGAACATCAGTTTTATCAGTAAAAATAGTTGTCCTCATTTTTTTCATTAGAAATGCCGCCATAGTAATCGAACAGTAACAGTAGTATAGATAGCTGAACGACTGGGAATTAACAGCATACTTAGTTTTAAAAAGTAATTCAAACACATTTTTATGTTTTCTCGGTTCAGAAAGTAAGATTGAGAGTGTCATGGCAGATTTTTTATAGTCAAGAATACCCGTTTGTTTATTACATTCTTTCTCGAATAAAAGTGTTAATCGTGTTTGACGTGATATCATACTAAAAGAATTTTCTCGTCGACAAATCTATGCATGATTATTTTTATCCGCGCATTTACGAGAGAAAATTTTATCTTCTGTCTTCTCTGTCCGATCCTTCGAAGTTATGGCTCTCTTAAATTATTTTTATTGAAAGTTCTCAGTCACGTGTAAGTGTGTAAATTATTGATAAAGCACTGACCTTTTTTTTCGGAGTTTCTTTCATCCCGAATTATTTTGATCAGTCGTGACGTATCATTCAAATTCCGATCAAATTGCGGCGAAAATTTAGAAGATTGAAGCGATTCATTCGAATCAGTCGCTTCGACGTCAGTCGGCGTTTTATCATTTTCGTGCGATTTTCTTAAACCATTATACGGGGTTAACTCGAAATTCTCATTCAACAGATCAACATTGATTGTGCAGTTGAGACACATGACACCTGCCACCGAGCCATCGATATCTTCACCGATAATTAATTGTCGACAGCTATTCGGATTACGAATCATCTCGCTGACGTAATATTCCCCATAAAGTTCTCTTAGACGTGTATTTTCATTATCAATAATCATTCTTATATCGTCGTTGTCTTCCTCGCTATACATCGTCATTGTCACAGATAGATACAGGTATTTATGCAAAATGACAATAAAATTATTATTATTAAATAATAATTTAATAAAATATTAATATAATAAATATATAGAATTTTGACTTTCGATGGCTTTTTTCATATATTTGAGCTTATAACTTGAACAAAAGATGTAATAGCCTATTACATTTTTTGTTCGGCAAGTCCTAAGTTACAACATGTGAGAAAACTGATTTTACTGGGGTTCAATTTCATCTAGAATTTTAAATAGGTTTGAAAATCCCACTAATTATATAAAATTAAATCTTGGTAAGATCAGCTGATTTTTTTATATGTTAGCTTACGATCTGCTGAACAAAAAAATGTAATATATTCAAAGCTAAATTAATAGACAGTTATACTGATTTATATCTAATCTCTACAAATTATTTGACTGACTGTAACTTAATAACTATCTACTATTTAGCTTTAAGGCTGTTACATTTTTTGTTCAGCAGAACAACACATGAAAAAGAAAACAATCCATTCCACCAAAAGCCAAAATCCTATTTAGTGCGGGGTCCTTTATAGTTTTTGCAAAATATGATTGATCGAAAATCAGATCGACTCACACGACTCTCCGTATCTTCAATTTGGGACGTAATCGTTGCCGTTCGCTTAAATATAAAAATTGGAACGCGTCTGTGCGTCGCGCGTATTTAGCCAGAATTCTAGTCATCTCTTGTTCGAACATATCCGCTGGAAAAAAATATGACACGAAACTCTTGAACTAATAAACTATCCAAGTACATTTTATTAACGCGTCGTTCGAAAGAGATTCGCCGACATAGATCGACAGAAAGGATCACCTAGGATAACCCGAGGAGGTACCACCAGGATCACGTGTTGGCAATAAATAGTGATGTCGAAGGTTGCGGATAATAGCTCCTTGAGGAAATTATTGTTCGAGTAACGCTCATCCCACACCAGTAAATGTACGAACATCGTGTTTCTTTCAGTGGCAGAAAAGATCCTTTTCGGAAGAAACGTAGGTTGAAGAAAGCTCGCCCGGCGAGATATTTATTCCAAAATAAATATAAATATTTTATTATTTTCCAACAAAGTGCTGACAAGAGGACGATTACCCATAAATTGTTTTCAACCAAGTCAACCAATCGCACGGTGGTACAGATGGAACATTGGGATAATTGCAGAGACATATTCCCGAAACGATATCATTTCTCTCGTTATATTGGACCACGAAGAGACAGCAAGTTTCGCTGCAAATTTGATATAACGGTACTTTAAAACACGATTTATATTTTACCGATGTGTATATAAGTAACGAGCAAGCTCTGAAATAACTCGCTTTAAGTACTAGAGCCGTTCCAATTCTACGTCTCCAAAAATTTCGTAAGTCGTCGAACGTAGAAGACGTTCTAAGTATGGTAAATCCGAATATTCGGCACGACGATATCCCGAGATTCTACTAGGCGATTTGTCAACATAACGCTGTGAACAGTGTTTGTTTTTCGGGTCGTTAACCAAAGTTTTCGTTGACATCTTGAAAAGACGTTTGGCAGAAATTGATGTGAATGCGATTTTCACTTTTTTTTCTTCAACTTTGCTCTCTTTGTCGAATTAAAATGAGCAGTTTTTATTTTATCAAGATATATTTCTCATCTTCCTCTTATTTTAGGCGCTTTTTCTTGCGCTTGACGATATTAAGCACGAGCCTGGTTAATTGACAATTGCCAATGTTCGGAGCGAACAGTTACGAGAGAAAAGATCAAATAAAATTATCGAATGTCGACTGATCGTGGGAAAAGTTAATCGGACCGTACAGACTCGATCGTTTTTAACGCCCGCAAAAAAAAGGTATAATAACGAAACTCCTTGAACAATTTAAACGGAGAGGCGAAGTAATTGCTTTGCTTTCTCGTTCCCGCAATCTCCTCTTGCCTCTCGCACCCAGCTTCTTTTCACTTCTAACAAGCGACTTCTGTTGGATAGTTCACACAAGCCGTGAATCCTTACCGTCAAAAATATACGGCCTGAAAATTTGGATTAATACTTCTCATTTCATATAAAATTTGTTTTATCTCAGTTCTACTTTCCATATTTAAATAATTGGATTGATAATTTTGACTACACATTTTAATTTTAAGTTGTCTAATAATAACGAATGACACATCACATTGAGCAAGTACAGTTAAGTCTCGTTAATAGGCCGTTTAGGAGGTAGAAGCGAAAAATTCTCGGAAAACAAAAATTAACTATTACTCTCTCTATAATGCAAACTGCACAAAAATGTATGCAGTTGCGCGAATGCAATTGCGCGTGCCGTGATCTGTCATTTTGACATAGAGGACACGTGATATTAGTGCTCGTGAAACTGCGTGTGTAAGAGTACGAAAAATTAATGTGGCTAAATTTAAAGAGATTATATACTGACTCGTAGAATTGATCTATAGAAGGAACTTTCATAAAATACGACGCGTAAAAGCTATTCGTACTAAATATAATACCGTATATACTGTAAATGCAAATGTGACATTGCATGCAGAAATCGGCAATCGTCACGACACTTTGCAGTTTCCATATTTTCTTTTTTCTCGAAACGAGCCGAGCTACTTTTAGTACCGTTTCAGGACAAGTTCTTCCTTCTATTTGTTTGTTTTTGCGCACTAGTTACTCTGATGACATTTAAATTTGACTTGTAGATTTCAATCCCTGTTGAGGAGTTCAAAATAATACGAAATAAAATTATTCCAATAAATGAATTACTTAAGAATAGAAAATTAGAATTTTACTCATGAAAAAAATCATGAAAGAATTCTACGAAAGTATAATTATTTTATATACATATATAATTTTCTCAATTATTTGAGATATATTATCTTTTTTCTTCTGTTTTTCTCGGTTGTTGAGAAAATTATCAATGTCGATTATTAACTATCTCTTTAACTCACAGCAAGTTTTCGAACTATTATGATAATGACTTTCGTCATGCAATGTGTAGAATTATGATGTGCTATATAAGAAATTTTTGATGTTGACATAAAAAAATAAGTCTTCAAAATATATATAATTTTTGTAAAAGCTTGCTCTAAAAATTTTTGAATAAAAAATTTGTTTGGTCATTTAAAGATCGTAGATCTTTTTCAATTTGTAATTATATAATTTATGAATAACAGTTCAAGAACTCGAACTTGATCTTGATCTCAATATTTCAGTTGAATTTATAAACGTACAAACTAATGCATGTTTACGTCTGATGCTATTCATATATTTGAACTGATGAGTAATAAATTGCGCAGACATAAACTCAAAATAAAAAAAATATATAACAGATCTTTTACTGCAAAGTATCGTCTTTAGAATTAAATAAAATTACCAAGTATATAAAAAAATGTCGTATGCAACAATGAATTTTTATTAATTTTTGGTATCTCTAAAAGTTAATATCTGAAAATTTGAGATATAAAAATTTCGAAATAACCATTTTTCAATAAATTACTGTCGACTTGATATATATCAGGTGTAATTAATTAATTGGCGCGAAAATCGCTTTATGAATCAATATCATTCATTTTTTTACGTAAGTGCCAGTATAATGTACTCATTCTTGTTCTCACTCTCTGCATATGCTATGAAAAAAGGCCCTTTTCTCACGTGTTCATCAGTATAAGAAAGGCTTCCCGGTTGCTCCACTATCCCCACCATTGATATAATGATAGCGCATGTGGAGCAAGTGTTGCGTCTTGTTCAGATAGAAATAAAATGTTGCGCGTAGTTAAAATAAAACTGGCTCTTAAATTCATATCTTTCCAATTTATTCCTCGTTTCGCGTTTTATATATTTTTTGTGTGTTTTATATATATTTTTTAGATTATTTGTACAGTAAATTTCTAATAGCGTTACAGTGAATTTCTAATAGCGTTATAGTATTATAAGACCTGTTGTGTCATATGTCACATTGGCATATGGTCTTCACAATTAAATAGTTGAAAAACAAAAGTTCAGAAATTGAGAAATGAAGCAAGTTTTGCCTAAAATTGTCCTATATTAGCTATTTTCTCAACGCGCAAACATATTGAATTACATTCGTGCAATATGCGTCGTTCATCAGCCATTTGTCACTAGTATAAATTTCAAATTTCGCAATATTTTTGGAATAAAAATATAATTCGCTCGATTGAATATTATACATTGTGTGTGATCGAAATAATATCGAAATGCACAATTGCATTTATTATAAAAAATAATAAATTCAGAATTGCATTTATGCACGAGTTTATAGTATACTATATAGTACTGACTAAATTTGTCAAATATTTCAAACATCGCTCGCAAATAATTTGTTTAAATAAAACTATTAAACTCTTAAATAATGAATTTTTGCATGTGTTTGCTAATCCTCGGACAAGAAAAATAATCAATTGTGTTAAATGAAAAAGTTGCGCATATCAGAATCATATTAATTTCTCTGCCATTCCTTTGCTAATGTCACTTTGTGTCATGAAAAATTAAGACAGAAAAAACGTTTTGAAAATAATTGGCTTACTTATATTTACTTATTGTGCCTCGAGGTCGACGTGAGCGTAGGTAGTAGAGTAACCAAAGTAGACAACACACTCCGACAACGGTACGCAGGCGACTGACGAGGCTTTCTGGGATGGAGCAAAATACTGTATTATAAAATACGAAGCAGAGAGTGGGAGGCGAAACTGTTTTGTATGTACATATAGAATAGATGCTGATGTTTTAAGATATTTGACAATGAAATTCTAAATGCATATATATATATAACAGAAACTGATATAAACATAGTAACAATTAATTATAAAGAAATCTTAAATTGTGTGATCATATTTTTAAAAAATAGTGAATATTTCTCTTCCTTTAGAAATACATATGTAATCTAGCGAATTTTAGAAGGCAATATAATATACACACATTTTTACATCTCTCTATGATGTTCTCAGAAATTTAAATTTTATATAAATTCCGATAATGAACAGATCAAGTTAAATTTAATTAGTTTTTATTCAGATGAGAAATATGTTAGCTTATAGTCAACATTTACAGAAAAAGAAGTTTTCTGTAAAGATTTACATATCGTAGCACGTGCAATATATTTTATAATTTTCAAGAAAATGCATAGATGCAAAAATATGCATTCGCATACCGCAAACTCTTAATAAATCTAAGCTTGGACACGCTAATGGGTTCGCGTGATAATCCATCCTTGACCCGATAGCTTCACTGTCAGCCGAGTTACTTTAATCGCGCGAAAGTACGATGTATAATTTTCTACGCACATTATATGAAGGCATACTGTATCTAATATATATATAAAACTTCTCCGATAAAAAATTACATTTTTCTTTCATGTACTTTAAACAAATTTAGATGAAAAGTAACACACATACTTGTAATTTGAAAACAAAATTTCGCAATCCTTTGACATCTATACTTCTAACTAGAATATTAGAAGGAACATTAGGAATTAGGATTGTACATATGTAAAAAGAGTGAACGAAGAAATTATAGAAAAGCTTAAAAATATAATTTTTATTTAACGTACTCTAAAAATATGTATAAATTTATATATATCATTTCTTAATAAAATTATATACATAAACTGATTCAGAGAGACTCACTGATAATTAAACATATAATATGCTTAAATATTTTAGATCTTTTCATTACAAATATCTTTGTATAATCTAATATGAAAAATATTCCAAATTCAATTTTTTTATACACTATTATAAAATTAATAATAAAAGATAATTTATTAAAGTAAGAACAAAGTAAAGATAATAATTTTATAAAATAATTTATAAAATTTTTGTGATTAAAATCAGTGAAATAAATATTCAGTTATTGTACATTCATTATATTATATACACATATATTGACTTCAATTTATAGAATAAATCAAACTCATCATATATTTATTTCATTTTTTGATATAAATAATAAATAATCAAACTAATATCTTAAACTTTTATTAAATAATAATCTATGTAAAATATTAATAATCATAAATTAAAGATTGAAAAATATATAATATATATATTTTATTATGTATATTATTATATATCTTATTATATATATAATTATTTTATATATAATTATATATATATGTACATGTTTTTGCAAAATATAAAATATATGCATATATATTTGATTACACATAAAGTTTAAGAAAAAAAATTGATTATTGAAATAAAATACATTTTTTAATTTAAAAATATATCTTTTTACTTGTATTTAAAAAATTTTTATTACTATATAATGAAAATAGTGAAAGCTATTTTGGAACAGATGTTATATTATTAAATAAAATAGGGGTATTTAGTTTTAATTAATTTTTTTCTTAACTTCTTTAAATAATTTCTTAATTTTCAACATGTTTAAATATATTCTTCTCATCTTTTTTTTAAGAGATGGATTGTGATAAGGAATTAATAAATGATTGATTTGATATATCCTATATCTATCAGAATTTTGAACATATAACCGACAAAATATATTATTTTATACTTCAACATTTTGTTTCTAATACTAAGGAAACATCTAATTTTTTGCCTACATAATGTTTCTATTTTATAAAATAAAACAGAGGAATGAATAGAAATTTATCTATCTAAAATTATTATTAACTACAATTTTATAGAAAGAAAAATTATCATTTACTCAAGTTAAAAGAATAATTTGCTCTAATCCTTTTTAAGGATGTATGACACATAAAAATATTAAAAATATTGTAAAAAGGAAAGAAACTAGAGAATAATATTGTAAAAAAGGATATCAATACATACATACATATATACCTACATATATATATATATGTATGTATATATATATATATATATATATATATATATATATATATATTATATTATATATTATATTTGGATGGTTTTTGACCTATCCATATATCGACTCCAAGTTTTCAGAATTTTCTGTTTTCATATTAATTTTTAAAAATATTAAGAAAAGATAGTGCAAAGCATTCGTAATGAAAAACATTCCAACATGACATATATCATCGGACAGATCAGAAAATGGATATCTTTGTTCCTTTGAACTTTCGAATATTTCTATTATTATTAAATTACCAATTTGCTTGTGGAATCGGAATTAATTTAAGACTTTTTAATATTTTTTTTTAATTTGCTATTTTTTGTCTCATACATCCTTATTTATACTTGTAGACCATAAAGGTCAAAGTATAGAAATTGCAGAGACTCAATCAAAATAAAAACAATAAAAAAATAAAGATTTCTTTTCCTACTTTAGTTTAGGTTTTGTACAATTTCAATTTTCAATATAGTTTGAACAACTTCACAAGGCTCCTCTTTCTTCATTACACTCATAATAAATTATGATTTTGTAAGGGAAAAATATATAAAATTTTGAGCCTTATGTTTATCATATACTTCATAATACTAAATTACACTAAAAGATAATTTTAGCATTAATTTTAGCATAATTATAATGAAAACGAAATAAATTTGTTATAATAATAATTACAATAAAAGATTTGTTGTAATAAAATTAAGATTTATTCACACTTTTCCTCTTTCTTTAATTTAAATCTCTTATAGAATAAATCTTAAAGAGCTATCTTTTTTCAGTAGAAAACCATATGTCAGTATGTCATTATAGATCTGTTCGTTTTGTGCTCCCATTTTTTCTACATTCAGATTCTTCGCTCTCTCTTTCGTCAGCACCGTAATATACATATATTTATCTGGTTTGAAATTTTCGGAAGTAGGACAAAATGAACAGATCCTAATTAAGAAAAATGGAAGCACATGTACACATCATGTACAGGGAAGCTTATATATCATTGCGTCGCACACTATATACACACACGCGCGCGTTGTGTGTACACAACGATCACGACATAACATTGATCCAAAAATACATTTAGCGATGGACACCCACTGAATCGACAAAGAGCCAAAGATTTAAGATTATATACGCCAAATACTTTCTTATAACAAGATATATGTATATTAATCGTCGCATGTAATTTTTCTTTTTTAAATTAATTATTCTAACTTATTTACAAGATTTTACATGAAACTGGACGAAAGACTTGAGTTCTTATACAATACTTACTTATAATTTACGATGCTTCGTGATAATCATCTGAACGATTTACGAAAAGTGAAATTTTTCCGAGATTCTAGGCGTCGGTGCTTTGTGATTTAAAAAGTTGTGAATCTATATATATATATATATTTTTTTTTTATATATATCACAAAACGAAAAGCTTACATGCCATTACATATAGCTTTATCTGGTTGTTAATAATCTCTGATTATTTTGATAAAACTGAACATTCAAATTTTGTCCAGCGTGCACAAACACGTTATTTTCAATATAATTTCTTGTTTTTTTCAACTATGATAGTGCTACTGTCATTGTTTTACATGTTTTCACTTTTGTGTAATATATATCTTGGTAAAGAGAACATCAATCTTAAACGTATAGCCATTTTCGTAAGCGTAAACAATGAAAATAATGATTACTGGATATTAGATGATCTTGGAGCTTTGCATCTCTCTAGTAAATCTCGCAAACATTGTCAAACTTTTCAAGCTACTCTGCTTCCGCTTTTGATAGAGTCTTGTTCATAGTTGTTCTGGCTTGTTCTATCCAGCCTTTACTTTGCATGAGATGTTAAAATAGACATGTATGTACATCATAATGGCACGATCAAATTTGAAAATTAATCTCCAGAAACTGTCGAAGAACGATATAATTTCGAAAGAACAAATTCTATATTTCAATGTCGTTTCTTCTGTCTTCGTTAACTTCAAGATTATCATTGTCTCTACTTTGCACATTTTCAACTTTATATAATATATCGTGACAAAGAGGACATCGATCTTGAACATACAGCCATTTTCGTAAGCATACACCGTGAAAATAATGATTGCATTGAGTGATCTTGGCGCTTTGCATTTCCTGATAGCAAATCGCGCAGACATCGTCTAGTTTTTCAAGCTGCTCGGCCTTCGCTTCCGGTAAAGAGTTGATTTTGTTCACAGCCGTGCGCCGTTTCATGAACACGCTCCATCCAGCCTTCGCTTCGCACCAGATGTTAAAGTAGGCATGTATACACATCATGATGGCACGAATAGCTCCACCAGATTCGAAGACTAGTATCCAAAAACCATTGAAGAACAGTATAATGCCAAAAGCAAATTCTACGGTATTGCCAAATGATCTTATAATGTACACACAATCGTCGAATTGTTCCCAAAACGCACTTCTGTACGCATCGATCAGAAAGAGTGAATAAATTGCCAGCGAGACCAGTACTTTGACTATTACTTCAATGCTGAAAACCGATACAGCCAATAGCCATGTACTCACTGTGAAATGAGACCAGAGAAATACAAGTAATGATACCGGAAAAAATATTAGAAAGGCACAAACGGCCAAAGCCCGCAAATGCCTATGTAGAGCCGGATTATGAGAAGCGCTGAGTGACATCAAAAGTGGATTCACTATATTGTGCACAAAATGTAAAATTGCCGTAAATAATAGGCAAAAATTACGATACAATCGTATTAGACGCTTCTCTCTATCAAGACTTGTCAGTCCGGTTTGCAATGCAAGAATATAGAATAATATAGCGGATACCGTGCCGATACTCTTCTCATCCTCATCTTCTGTCAGCAATACCCATTGGAAGAAACAGCCAATATAGTGACAAATAAATGAAATTATGCTAGTCATACCGAGAACAGCTGTCAAAGTTTCACAACCATTTACCAGTAGTGTCCTGACCATGACATAATAATTGAATGTTTCTTCACCATAGTGATTTCCGAGAATTTGGATTACTTGTTCTCCGACTCGCAACATCCAAAATGTACGGAGGACGCATGGTACATTCAAACGCATCCATTCCGTTTCGGCGAGAGCAGATAAACCATAATTGATTATAAAGTTGCGTGCATGTCGATAGGCTACATAGATCGTTTTTAGCATAGAGATGCCGTTATACCAGATGATAAATTTGCACACAGCTAATGGAATCAATGTTGCACATACTGGCGCGTGGTATAAATATTGTACCTAGAAAAATATACACATTTGAGATTATATTAACAAAGCAAAGAGCTTTTTCTAGTTTTTATACTTTAATAAAAAAAAATAATGACAATATAAAGCATTCATTATTTTTAACTTCAATATTTTGAAGCTTACCGGTAAGGGATGAATGCCCAAAATAGATGGTGACATAAAACTCAGCACCAGTAGTTTTTGAACCACAGGATGTCTTGGAGCAAGATGAATATAACAAAAGATACTAGCTAATAGGCATTGCAGTATATAGTTCTGAATAATCAATAAGCCTGGACCATTATACAGAACGTCTGATAAATTCAGGGATAATATATTGTCAAGTATGCTGATTGCAGGTTCGTGGGAATTCATGTAAGTTATGATTGCTTTCATTGTACTAACATTTGACCAATATGATACAAATATCACCCCAACAGATATTAGATATAGATACACAATTATTAAATGCCTAGTAGATAACATAAATGTGTATAAAGCAGCAAGGCATCCTGAAAAAAATATAAAAAATATAAAATATAATTTATTTTTAATATAAATTTTGTGTAAATCAAAAAACAACAAATTTTATCGACTTGCAATTTTAAATGTAAAGGAATATATATTCTCTGAATTTGTACATATATATTTTCCTTGTTTTTGAGATTAAAGATTGATAATCATTTTCTTGTTAATCATAATCTATTGATAACAAACATCATTGATAAAAGAAATGATTGATAAAAGACGAGCTGCAATTACAAATTTACATCTAATAAAAATTTTTGCATAAAACTGCAACATTCATCTAAAATTATATATATATATATATATAATTATCTAAATAAAATGTAAAAAGAGAAAAATCAGATTTTTATCTCATATTTCAACAATAATCAGAGATAAAATTATATAAAAATATATGGCACAGTATTTCTTGCTATATAAATTTTTGAAAAAAAAAACGTTTGTATATTGTTTATATTTGAAAAAAGTTGCATATTGTCACGAAAACAAGGATCCAATAAAATGAAAATAAATCATACACAAAGTAACTTTGTAAATTTACTGATTGCAGCTTTGATCTCTTGTTGAAAAATATCAAATTTAAAATTGTATAGAAAAATTTTTACTTACCTAAACAACATGATAAAAATTTGAATATAATTATCAAATAAGTTTTGTAAGTAAAATGAGTTAAGTCAAACTGTTCCACCAGAAACGAGTCTGTCGTAACTGCAGAAATGGAGTTAACAATTGTGCCTACGTTGCTGGTTTTGAAACCATTTTCAGTACTGTCAAGTACAATGTTATCGCTAGGTAATCCAAGACCAATTCTGAGTAACTCATCGATAATAAATAAAGGTGGCACTCTCATTATAACATCAGCAAAGCTGAGAACCCTGTCTCGTATTGAAGTCTCCATTTTGTTAATGTTGTTCCGAGAAAAATGTTCAAGGAAGACACGTTTCTTATGCACGCCTTAGTAGTGTATATGGAAGTGGCATTCCGGAATTCGGATATAAAAGTTTCACCTAGTGCAATAAATATAAAAATTAATGTCTCTTGTACACAATTTATATATCTGCAAATAAATAATATATTTAATATAATCTTTAATACTTAATATGTAATATTTATTATTACAAATACGAACAATTTTTGTATAACTTTTTAGTGATTTTCCTAAAGTTTAATATTTCATATGTTAATGCCCCCATACATTTGTAAAATTAAAATTTGTCTAATAAAACTGATTCTCATCAATTTAAATCTTTAATATTTTTTGTATAAAATTATCAAGTGTTACAGACATACTAATGTACTTTTGATAAGTTTAATTTGCAAAATTAATTTTATTACATGTATTTGTCGTTAATATTGATTTTAAAATAAATATCTTATATCTTATTGATTATATTATTATGATATTGTGACATATATATATATATATATATATATATATATATATATGTAGGGAAATTCTTAAATATACACATACTCATACATATATGTACATAATATGATATACAGATTAAAATAAAATTTTACTCCAATTTCAAGATTTACTAAAAAAAACATATGTACAATATAATTTTAATTCAATCTAAAAACAAACAACATTGCTAATGATGAGTATTATATAAAATATGAATAGTTTTAATTTAAAAAAAACAGATTCTTGCTTATGTAGTAAAAACACGACAAATCTCCAATAATTAAAGCAAAATGCAATAATATATTTAAAAAAATAGAAAAAAATCGTTTCATCTTTATTAAATATACATCATATTGTATAATCAAATCAAGAAACAGCAAAGCAAAACATGTAAACGTAAATAAAATTGTAACGGATAATTATAACCTCAAAGCTGCATTTTTCAAAATAAAAATATTCTCAACGCAATGAATATGAGCTTTGCAAGCACATTGCGTTTAACACGATGCCAGCAGAAAAATATATGGGATAATAATTTTTTTCCACAAAATTAATACATAAGCTGTTTGATATCACAGGAAAATCTGCGCGCGAGTCAAACGACAAAAACTTACCGAGCAGCGAAACATCGAAGAAAGAAAAGCTGATTCACAGATCACATTTCATAATCGTGTAACATTGTGCACTTGACCGCAATGACTTGACAAACATTTATGAATGACTTTGAATAACTCGAAATGCGAGGTGCACACATCCTCCTGGCGTTCACCATGTATTGTTCTTATGATAAATAAAGACCCTTTATAAAGCATCTCACGACGCCATCGCTCGGCCGTTTCCTGTCACCTGTATTCTTATCAGCTGTCAGAAGCCGCGACGCGGTTTTTTTGAAAAACAAAAGAAAAAATTAAAAAAAACTATCTCTTTATATATATACATACTTTTTTTTATCGAACGTGATACACCCATAGATTTCTATGGTTTTCTGTCACCTGTATTCTTATCAGCTGTCAGAAGACTCGATTAGAAGCGGTTTTTTGAAAAATAAAAGGAAAAAAAAACAAAGAAAAAAATTATTGCTTTATATATCACTTTATACACATACTCTTTTTTATTGAACGTGATATACCTATGGGGAGCTGTATAAAATAAAAATATAATTTGTACGGTAAAATTTATTGTTTTCCTCTGGTGTTATATATATTTTTCAGTTTACATCGATGACATGTCTCGTAACGTCGATGTCGTGATATATTCTAATTTCGTGTCCACGTTCTATTTTTATTTTTGTTTTATTTTTTTTTTTTTTACATAAGATCGATGATTGTATTCTCTTCGGGTATGCACGCGAAAAAATGTTCGTTGCTTCTCGTGCAACGCGGATATGAAGAGAGACTCGACTATATGCGCTATAAAAATCTTACATCCGGGTTATACCGTGATTATATTAATAAAAATAGAGCTTCAATCTTTTTTTGCTAAGAGTGCAACGGCTTTTATTATCACATCGAGACAGATCTCGCGTGTCAAGATTCTATTTTGTTTATAGCATTAATGAATGTTGGTTGAAATTATTTCGTGTACGAATGCAATAATTTTAAGGCATTTTTATAATTTTGTGAGTTTTTCGAATTTTTTTACTTTCGTTAATGAACTTAAATTTTGCGTGGAAATTTTTTGATCGAAGTCGCCCTATCCGATATTAAAAATTCATATATAATCAAATATCATCATATAAAAATATGTATTATTATATATAAAATGTGTTCATATATATTTTTTCTTATATACTCTTTATCCGTATGTACTGAAAAAATAATTAGAATAATTTTCTTAAAGTTTGTTTTCAGGTCTCTTTCTTTAAAAAAAGTAAAATCGAATTATTTTTATGTACATACATATAGAAATTATATAAAAGAAAAACTTATAAACGTTTTTTATATATCATTATATACATATATATTTATATTTAATTATTATGGATTTTTTTATCGAGCGATCTTTCTTTTTGGAATGTTTTATCTTGTCTTCAAGACTGACTGTCGCGCAATATGTCATTTTAATCGCTTAATTCAGTAATTAATATATAGTCAAGCATCACAGGTATCGCACTATCTACTTTGTCGAATCGGATTATTACATTATTTTGTAATCTATATATATAGTAATTTAAAAAAAAGAACTAATAGTGTCTCTGTAAAAAAAAAACATTATATAATAATTTATAATTATATGTCAATAGCAGCAAATTATTATCACATTGTAAAAAAATGAAACTGCATTTTGTTCAAGTATAAAACAACTTGTTCACGATTTTACTGTATATCTTACATCTTAATGTGACATATTACAGATTATACAATTTTGTATGTTCATGACCGTGTCTCGTACACACTTCCAATTTTTTTTTGTAATATCACACTTATGTATTTCTGTTCGTCCATTTTGAGGAATTAAAACACTGTATTGCAAAAAGAACGTAATACGCCATTTATTGACTCTAGGAATCGGCGCACATAATATCCGAAGCATAGCCTTCGATTTTAACTTAGTGGTATTTATGTAAAATCATTTAAATAATAGCATGATTATATAATAAAAGTCATAGTCAGAATGTATAATTTAAAATAAGAATTTTGTTAAAATTACTAATATTATGCAGAATTTTCGACAAATTATTAACAATTTAATCGCAATAAAATTATAAATTGGATCAATTTTAGGTATAATTGCCGCGATACGTATTCCTCCTTTAAAGAGCTAATATCTATATTTGCTCTTGTCAAAAAAATAAGAGATCTTGAAAATTTATTCAATATTGAAAATTATAATATTTGTATATCAAACTTATTATTAATTTCAAACTTTGATCACTTTTATAAATTGGTAATCATCAAAGCAATTTTTTTAATGAAGAAATGGCATTACTTGCATTACTTTTAACATAGAAAATTACATTTTGTGTGCATATATATTTTTTCATTGTATTTCAATTTTGTTCTTATAAATCTGTAACTTTATTACATTATCACGAAGCTGTTTTTTTCATATTATATAATTTATTTTAGAAATAGATTTATGCTATCACAATTTTCATATTTAAAACTCACACGCAAATGTTTTTACTCATATACATAATATATTCATCTTATAAAGAAATATCCATAATTTTTATTTTTAAAAATTTTGGTTAAAAACATGTTTTTATACGTAATATGAATGTAAATAATATTGGAAAATTATATTATCTATGAAGCGTAATTTAATGTATAGCAAGTCTTTTATAACTTTTGACGCATATATTGCGATACTTAAATGATTTTTGATATTAAAAATTAAAATAGTTTATAATGTATATTTTTTTATTAGTGTTATCTATTATATTAGTTTCCTCAATTGTTTGTGTATATTGTATTTTGCATTAATATATTTTGTAGAGCATTTTTTATTATATTTTGTATACGTTATTTCAATATTCTTATACATCATATATTATTATTGATCTTTGATATACCTTCAAAATATAATAAATAATTGTTATATAATAAGTTGATGTATTCAAAAAAATCTCAAACAATTTAAAAATTCAGCATGTGAGTTTTCAATATGAACACTCTAGTTTTATGTTTTGAATATTTATCGAAGTTACATTATGCTGGTGTGTATATTATTCAGCAAATATATATTTTATTTATATAAACTTTGCAAGCCCAGCTTACCATCGTCAAATGCACTTTTAGGTTTATTTTATTCATGTATGAAATTGCTGCTTATATCTGTAGGAGAGTATAAGAGTGTCAATAAATTATTAATAAGAAAGATTAGAAAAAATCTGTATTCCATATCTATTCGATTTCCATTTACTCCCGATCGGGCAATTTTAGAAAATGACAATTGATATACATTGTTTTAAATCGGCGCCACTTATTGCTCGATACATTTAATGCAGCAACATTTAGTTTTTTTAGATACATAATGGAAGGAAAGATTACTTTCCATTATTTGTGACTCGTATTGGCGACTGAGACAGACGATTGATTTGTAAGAGTAATAAACAAGAAAATAGGCCTATATACATGTTTTTAACATGTCGTTACATTAAACTGTAGATAATTTAGACAAATTAATAAAATTGATCTTGCTGAAAATGGTAACTGTATTGGCGACTATCATTATTTCGATTTTGCAAGCCAAAACTATATTCGTAAATATTATTACTTTGTATCCTCGTACTTTAAGATCGATTAATAATTGCAAAGCAAAGAAAAATTTGCCTTTGCAATTGTCTTTTTTTGTTTATAGTTAACTGGGAAATGCCGTGTGATAATATAAAATTATAATATAATAATTACAGATAATCTCGTTGGCACGATCTTTTGTTTTTCTCACGCTAGTTAGGCATTTAATTAAGAAAAACTCAAGATACCACATATTCATACTGATTATACATTAAACGAGCCAGTAAGTAATTTGTAATTCATCCTTGCCCTATTCACATCGCTGTCCGCCTCACCAATGCGATAATCAAACACTTTGTGGTCTATAGTGATCACGTATAGACTGCACCGTATAATGGCACAATTTCTTTCTCTATAATACAAGCAAAAATTACTAAGTATTAGTATTTATAAATCATATTAACTGCCAACACGAGTCTGCGAATTAGGTGAATCACATATTCTGCCAAATGCGTACGTCTCTTTCATTTGCAAATATATTTGAGCTAGCGAACTCAATAGCCTGGAGAGTTATGCGTATATTCCGTGTTTGCATCCCTTTTTTTTTTAATATGCACAATATGTGCGCGACAAAGTATGAGGTGCAATCCTGTATGTTTATGTGTATATAGCATGTATGAATGTGAGCTGCGTGGACGGCGCTACGTACACCACTCCTCGGTCAGTCAACCACTGACAGACTAGCAGTCAACTATCGTCAGTATTCGGACACCCGTGGTTGCATTGGGAGTTTTCAGTTCAACGTGCCTAGCTCACGTCAATATGTACCGTTGTATAATCTTCAATAGACAAATTAATTGATTAATGTCAAATCGACTATAATAAAAGTTTCGATTCATTGGTATGTAATATTGGTCCTCGCTGCGATTATGTTAGATTGTGACGTCAGAGGAATGGGCCTCATATTATAATCATTTTACAGCTGTTGAATGATTATAAAGGAAAAAGGATAGTTTTCAAAATATTTTAAAAGTGTCATAAGGCCATATGAAGTGCTGTTTCATCGAAATATCTTTGTTTTTCGTCTCTAACATTACAATTCCAACATGAATGATGAGGAACCTTAATTCAAATTTTAGACGTACTTGCATACAGATGTGCTAGAGTTTGTCTTGGAATAGGAAGAGATTATTCGTAGCAGCGACAGCCACCACATTTTCAGATGGATGCCATGCGGTGTGAAGTATTTTTTTATTGAAGTCCAAACAGTCAACGCTAATCTCATCCTTCTTGCGCTTACCACCAGTGCACACCTATATAGCACACATGAATATAAATTCTCGAATGTACAAGTTCCTCATGAATAAAACAACATCTTAAGAATATACTAACCTTTCTCGGTTTGAGGAGTGTTTTTGGTTTGGCAATGTCGCGTGCTGCCTCTAAAGTAAGATCGCGTTTGGTCGTACGATCGAATACTCTAAAGAAATTGTTATACGAGCCCGTCATGATAGCCGAGTCATTACCACTCCAACAACATTCAAACTTGTCGAAGATGCAGTCGTTTTCGTATAATGAACATAATTTTGATCTTAAGTATTCATGAACCTATCATAACAAAATTATATTAGTGAATATGTACATATGAAGATAACGATATATATTTTATACAATAAAAATATTTATATAAAAAATAGAATTATATAATGATATGAATTATGTATAATGATATGAAATAAAATTTGACGAAATACATCGATAATGATATAAAAAATATCGCTTTCCTTATGAATATCACAAACTTACAGGGTAGCATTCGATCGGTTTCGTCTCCATTTGTAAATCCCACACTTTCACACTGAGGTAGTCTCTACTAATCATGTATCTTCCAGAATTACTGAGTTTTACATCACTTATGCTTGAAATAATTTCGGAGAAAAAACTTCTATTAGTTGGATCTTCCGGCTCCTCGAAGAGTTTGCTATGCTGATCGCAAAGAGCAGCAGATCTCATATCGCAAAGTCTAATAGTTCCCTTGCTACTACTGTATACCAACACATTACATTCTGCAGGATGAAATTCCGCTGCAGTTATAACTTCCGTTAATTCTTCCATATTAGTTGGTTTAATGTCTACTATATCTGTATGCTATGGTTAAGAAAATTATATCCGAAAATTTCATCTTACATTTCATTATAAAAAAAATATTAAAATATACATACACAAACTTATGTATACGTGTATAAAGAAAGGATACTAAAACTCTGGTCAGTTATCTCAAGGTGCCAAAGATTAATTCTAAGATCATCAGCACTGAGGTATGTCTCTTGATCACTGTTGACACTTATACTGTTTATATGATAGGTGTGCGCATTGGCAAATATTCTCCTTGGTGATGCCTCCACCATCAACTCCATTGGTTTTATGGTTGGCACCTATATATAATAAAGTTATAAACCATTAGAAATCTTAAAATTATATTATATACTTTTCTCTATATATACACCTCTCATATTTCTCATAATTATATTATTATAATATCTATAATATATTTTATAATTAAAAATTACACTACTTGCAATATATATATATATATATATATAATGTATAAAAAAATTACTAATACAATAAACTAAAAATATATTTACCCTCAAGGCAGTGATGCAGGCAGGATCACGGATCGCGCCATTTTCCTCCTTAGTATTATACCCCTCTACTCTTTTATCTCTCTCACTAACTTTCCATAGCTTGATTGTTTTATCGTTCGTGGAGAGTAAAAAGTGGGCAGGATTTTTTCTTTTTAGCCATCTAATTTTATTAATTTTTTCTTCTATCTCTAATGATTTTAGGTAATCAAATTCAGGCTCATGGCTCTGGAAGGTACTATACACGTTGTATTCGCCTCTTCGTGGTATACTGTTTTTACTCTGCACAAATAAAATTATTGTTTATACATTCGTTATTTTAATAGCAGATATTTTGTCTAATTGATACAATTATATTTCAAATATCATGCTTGAAAGTTTGATCATCTAATTTTGTATATAATATCTATTGTATATAATAATTCAATTATTAAACTTGAGAAAATTTACAATTGTCAAATATCTTATATATCTAACCACTTTATCAATGTCATCTTACAAGCTCAAATGATAGTGTGTACCTTTAATAGGCTTACTGAAGAGCTATTTCAACTCAATAGAAGATAGGACAGATACCAGATTACTAAATGTTACATAAGCTTTGTAAGGATGATACAAACTCATGTCTAGCACTGGCTTATAAATATTGAAACTAATAAAAGATCTATTGATATAAATATATAAATAATATTTTTTCTTACTATCAAACGTCATTAATGAGATATATTATAACTAATATTAATGTAATATATTAATTAACATATATTAAAATGTATTAGAATTATTAATATCTGTTATTTGGATTTTTTAAACAACATAGAGTAATAAATAGAATAGAGGAAATATCTATGTGAAATTTATATTAATTTCGCAATAAATTGCACTTACAATGGGGTCTCTCTGAAAAATGACCACACGTCCACCCTTATCCCCTGTTGCAAGAAGATCGCCATCATGGTTAAATTCAACGCACGAGATTATATCAGCTGTAATATAAATATAACTGTTATATATGTAAACAGTTTTTGTGCAACATATATATTTTGTGATTATATAAGCATATTAATAATAGAGAATTAAAAATATGAGCAAATCAAAATAAAACTTTTAGACCTCAATGACATATGCAAAGCTTTGATTCGCAACTAGTTCTTTACTTTATTTTAGTATGTGTAAACTGATAAGATAAAAGGCAAGATAAGAGAAAAGTCTGTTTCTCAAGTTAAACAAACATAGGTCAAACTTACCTTCTGTAACATCGTCTTCTAAAGTTCCCTTGACTTGCGAGAAACACCACTGTATGTCACCATTGCCTGTAATATAAAATATAAAGATATTATAAAAAATTCACCTTTTTCAGTTGTTTTTAAACATTAATATATGATAGTGTTTGTAAAAAATGTTGTATAATACTCATTATATAAATATCTTAATCAGTGCATTTGAGTCTTTTGTCGCTAGTAACTTATAAAAGCTTGCAATATGTTATGACAGACAAACAAAAGAAACCAAAACAAAGAAATGCAAGAATAGGATATGAAAAGATTTATACAATGTATATTCCAATTCATTATTTTATAATAAAATATGCATTAAAGCAGAGGACAACTTTTTGGACAAGTAAAATATATGTTAACAAGTTCTTATATGTACATTTCTTTGTAAATTTTTTTAAATACAGATAGATTTGATCTTTTTTCTCTGTGAAAAGAAATTTTTTAACAATGCAATATATATACATTACTCCAATTTATTATTTTATAATAAATTTATTTTTTTAAATTACTTCTAATTTATGCAGAATTTAAAAAATGAATATTATTCTCAAAATAATAAGCTACAACATACATATAAAATATTTAAATAATCAATTCGTACAATATATTTGAAAAAATAGCAAAACGATTTAATTTATTAATATTCTACTTTAATTATGCGTATATCAAGTAATATTTCCATCTATAATCTATAATATTCAAAGTAGTGTGCAAGCATTTTTCCCAATACTCCGAATTCTCCACGTGCAAATATCGCACGAAACAAAGAAAACACAGCGACTTCTCGCAAGCGTCGCTTGTTGTTTCGCAAAGCAGGGTTAGACGAGGCGAAAATCAAAAAATTCACGCGTAAAAATTATGCGGCCGAATTGAAGCGGGACAGGAAAAAAGAGAGGTGAAAGAAAGCGATGCAATTTAATATATTCTGCGGAAAAGAATCGAACAAAAAGAGTCGTCGTCCCGATGCACCTGCATCCAACGCATTGCTCGTTTCCCAATCTCACCGATCCTTTTAGGCTGCTAATGAGAAAAGAATAAATAATAAAAATAACAAATAATAAATAAAAAAATAAAATAATCAAAAAAAAAAAAAAAAAATTATAAAAACGTGAAAAAGGCTGCTTTACATAAAGATAAAAAAAAATAGTTTCTTATGCAAATCGTATTTTTGAGACACGCTGTTACATATTACACAGGGTAAGCGGCGGGAAGCGAAGAAGAGGACACGAATGAAGATGGCTGGCAGGGAGTTCTCCTGCGAAGGTCGCGATATGATTACGGAATGCAAAGAGAAAGAGAGAGAGAGAGAGAAAGAACAAAACAGACGGAGGAGAGGTGAAAGTGAGCCTACTTGAAGTTTCGGCGTAATCCATCGTGTTTCTAGGCCGCCGTCGTCGCCGCCGCTGCTGTCGTCGCCGTCGCCGGCGACGGGCACATAGAAGTGTGCGTGTCCGGGGTCCCCCACGCGTCTCTCCACGAGGAGGAGAGAGAATCCGGAGTGCGGCGCGAAGGATGCGCTCTTTATTATTCGAGGAGAGGATCGGAGGCGTAGGCGAGCGTAGTCGGAGACGTGTGTGTATATATATATATATATATATATATATTACGATATCGTCTCTCTACGTCTTTCTCTAATCTGGGTCAAGGTTCTCTCGCCAGCGGCGAGACGATGAGGGCCGCGCGAGGAGGCGATCGAGAGCTGCCGGGCAGGAGCGGCGACGCGTCGTAAGAAAAATCCGCACCGTGTATATTTTATATATCGGCGGCGTGGGTGTTACAAACACACACACACACACGCGCGCGCGCGAGAGAGAGCACACACGCGCGCGCGAGAGAGCACGCACACACACACACACACTCGCGCCGGTCTTCAAACAGCCGCGATAGAATCGAGAGGAGCCTCGTTACTTACCGGCCATCTCGACAGGGGGAACAAACACGGAGGTATATCGTTCGGCACGCGGCTTTTACGTATCACACTCCGGGGAGAAAGAGGGAAAGAGAGAGAGAGAGATGGGTTCACAGGATAGGCATGTACGTCGCGCACGCCGGCGATACGACGAGGTGAACCGTTCGTTACGCGGAGAAGACGAGGGAGGCCGCTCGAGAGGTCCCTGTCACATATTTCTCGCCGAGCACTTCGCCGTGAAAACGCTCCTTCGGAGTAACGCGGTCTCCCAATGGCGGAAGTTCATAGGCGCATAACCGCACAACACGGCGAGTGACGTCACTGCGCAGCCTGTCTTCCTATCGTATTCGCGGTAACCACCATTTTACATGCGGCGCCGCTTGGGGACGCGCGGAGTGTGCGCGAAACGCGAGCGCGAGGCGCGACGGAAACGCCCGAGCGGGCCCGAGCGAGCGCGACGCGGGAACGTTTGAATCGCGCTGGAATTATAGCTGTTTCGGAGATGCGCCGCTTTTCCCTTCGCGATCAATTTATAATCCGCGTATTTTGGTCGCGATCAAATGTATTTGTGTCCACCACAATCGGAAAAATGTTTGATTCATTAAATGTGTAGAAAAAATTTATTATAAAATATGTATTTTATATAAAAATTGGATAGAAATATATATTTATATTACCATCATTAGATGTATTAATATCTACCACAACAGGATATAAAATATGTATGTATATTTCGAAGATGTGCCGCTTCCCTTCGCGATTAATTTATAATTCGCGTATTTTGGTCGCGATCAAATGTATTTATGTCCACCACGATCAGAAAATATGTTCGATTCATTGAATATGTATAGGAAAAATTTACTATAAAATATGTATTTTATATAAAAATTGCACAAAAATATATATTTATATTTACCATATAATAAATATATTAATATCTACCACAACAAGATATAAAATATGTTCGATTTATTTTACTATGTACATAGTAAAAATTCACTATAAAATATGTATATATATATATATATATATATATAATTATATATAAATATTAATATATATCTAAATATATTAATATATTAATATCTATGTATATAAAGTAAATTTTTATTTTATTATATACATGCAAAATTCATCGAACATGTTTTTTTCATATCTTATTGCGGTAGATATTAATATTTTTGTAAATTGTTCCATATTGCCCCAAGATTATCTTGATTTTCAGAGTAAATTCTAAGAAAAAGTTTTCTCTATAGAAAATATTGTATTACAGAAATATTGTAATAAAAAATGAGAACATATGCAAGAAGGCATTATTTTCAATTATATATTACATGAAAATGCAATCTCTTTATGTTATTTAGATTGTAAATATTTTCTCTATGTTCAATATATTAGATTAAGATATTTAACTATTAAAATATATACGTAATATTTATTCACAATAGAACATCATAAATTATACTTTTAATAAGAATTTTTTAAATTATACTATATATGGATATAAAAATAATTTGTACTAAAAAAACTTTCGAAATATAGAAATTATTTTAATAATAAAGCAACTATTTAAATATATCTTCTATCATTGGCCAGTTCTAAATCCTTATATGTCAAAAATTAAAATTGTTTAAAATAGAAAGTCACAAATATACTTTTTATTATTTAATTTTTTTTAAACTTTCCCGCTATAATTATATATTTGGATTCTATGAATTTTAAGGCATCTTATATATTATAAATTTTATATTTTTTATTTAGCGAAAAGCAAAGAAAATTAAAACATTCAAAAATAAGATGTTTTCATAAAAAAAATACTAACCAAAGTAAATAAGTCTATACGACTTAAAGTGCGCAATGCATATTTTCTTTTGTCACGGAGTTCATTTTAAGAGTAGTTTCGCATTCAGCGAAATGCGTCGTCGAATAACTCGTCATACATTTTTACACACAATGTATCTGCGTTTTTTTGTTCGCATTTTCTCGTTGTTACTGTAAAATTTATGCGAGTTAAAAATCGCGTATTCACAAAAATAATATTTTAAAATTTTTCACTTTTATGTTATCAATAATGTAATTTGAATTACAAAAAAATTGTTGACAAAATTATATCTTGTATGTGCTGAGAGAGAGAGAGAAAAAAGAAGAACGAATGTGTATATCAAGATATTCCTTTTCAATTCAAACAAAGGCTTAATAATTAATTAAAATACAATACAATGATAAAGAGATTGCGCTTGATTGTTCATATGCATGTTAAATATTAAAATTATCTTTGAAGAAATTCAAAACGTTTGAATAGGTTTCAATTATAGTACTTTTACTTTTTTCATAATATAATTAATCAAGAGGGTCTCCAAATATGATCCTCACAATAATTTGTTTCGCATAATATCAAACATACATCAAAAGAGAGACAGTTTCGCAAAAGTATGTTGCACAAGCTTGCACCTGATTAATTATTATCAATTAATGTATACACACGAGATGAACATATGTTTTTAATTGTTGATATATTTATTAATATACAAATATTAACATACAACTCTTCAAGAGAGATTATCTCAACTCTGCAGAGACTTGATTACGATTCTGAGCTTGTCGTCGTGAAGAGCTTTCGCGAAATGATGTTAAAGCATTTACCTAAAAGCTCCGTTAACTTGTCGTGCAATTCCTCAAGGGAGGAAAACAAAGGCGTATTCCTTCGCAAGTACGTGAATGTCTTCGAAGGACGAATCCTCGATCGATCCATTCTCCATGAGCGAAAAATCTGAGAGGCTGATTAACTTTCGCAAGTTCATCCACCAAAACCGAAAGGAGTTTATCGATTAATCAATTATAACGACTCTCCGGCGCTCAGCAACTGATTTTTCACGAGCAAAATACCATACGAGACTGTCTCTGAATGGTACCAAGTGCATAAGCTTGTATGAGGCATGGAGCTTCTTTACGGAACATATTAGAGGTGTTCTGTTAATAAGTTTGCACTAACGAGATTGCATCTCCATTCGAATTCAACACGCACGCACTGATAACATTTCACACATTCAGAATAAGGTATAACCCAGAAAGGGATATTTTTGCCATACACAAATGCAATCTATATACAGATTGTGTTTATTATTAGACACTATTTAGAAACAATTTTGAAATCACATAGAATCCAACCTTTCAATTTGTATTTACAACATTATTTTTAAACGTAAAAAATAATTGGAAAAAGTTTTCATAGAGAAGTATAATCATCGATAGATTCAATAAGTTTTCACAAAAACTTATTGTCATCAGTATTTAAAGATAGTAAAATGCAATGTATTAATTTCTTTTTAACAAGCGACATTAAATATATTATTATATATATTATTTTATATAATATTTTATGCGTGTGCATACACTAAAAAAATTGACCAGAAGATTCGTTATTAAAAAAATATTGGTGGTTTTCTCGGATATATGTATGTATGTATAAATTGCTTAAACATATTTCTACACACAAACAATACAATAAAACTGTCCTCGAATAATTTGATCAAAATGCTTAAACTTGAAGGGAAAGAATTACATTTGGAGAGAGAGTTCTTTGTCCCCTTATACCTATTCAAATAACGTCAAAGCAAATGTAGCGACTGATCGTGAAAGTAAATCACTTTATATCAAGACGTTTGCAGAATAAATATATTGTACGCGTCATGATTCTACAATATGAATCTTCTGTCTTTGAAAAATTTTCCAACCGATCTTATTACTCACGGAAATAATAGCGATCATCGCAATCATTCTTTGTGTTCTTTCGTCTGGGCGCCATGTAATGAACTATAGTTTGATTTAAATCGACGATAGCGGCTTTTCTCTTAATACGTAGACGAGCTGGTGTGTACATCCTCGTATTAGCAACTTTTTACTTCGGCGATAATCGCGACGTTTAAATCTTCCTTCACCACAGTTCTAACGAGTTTTTGGTTTTCGCCGTGCAATACCGATCTCGAAGAAGTTTACTAATCGGCTGCCAAATACGAAACCTCATCGGCGAAATATACATATACGACTTTATTTATTTACGTTTTTATTAACGAGAAGCTGAGGAAGGAGAACGGATTCTCCTTGGTATATATTATACACAGAAAGAATTTTCTCTTAGAATTTACCCTAAAAATCATGGTAATATCGTGGGTTTTCTCTGATTAATATTTACCACCATAAAAAAATAATATCTACCATAATAAGATATATATAAGATATATAGAATATGTTCGATTAATTTTACTATTAGTAATATTTTTATTGTAGTAAATATTAATCAGAAGAAACTCTTATAAAATTCTTTTAATATCATATTGTCCCACGATTACCATGATTTTAAGGGTAAATTCTAAGAGAAATTTTTCTCCGTGTATACATATACTATTCTACATATAAGATAGATCGACAAACACAGTGCAACTACAAGAAAGATAATTTGTCGTACAAAAATAAATTAAAAATTTATACAATAAATATTTTTTATACAAAGCTTTATTTTTGAGAAAATAAACTGTGAAAGAAAAATTAATAACATGCAGATTTACTCATTTTTAAACTTGAATGACCTTTAATAATCGCGTCATCGTTTTTCTCGATTTCATCTTGACAGCGATTAATAATACATATATATATAAAAGTACATTTTATTTAATAAAATAATTTAAAGAATTTATATGCATATATAAAGCATGGAGATAAATTTTATTTTTTTTTATTAGACGGAATATATTATATATTTTTTTATAAAATACATATTTTAGTAACTACTATCAAAATAATGTATAATACTCGATAATGTACAATACAAGACTAGAAATCATTCAAACTTAAAAAGGCATTAATATGTCATCAATTTTTCTAATTTCGAAATCCATTTTATATCAAAATAAATTAATATATTTATATAGCAATACATTATATATTAATATATTATATATCAATATAGTTATACATTTTTTATTTTCAAAATTAATATTTTCAAAAACAAGGCTTTGTATGAAAAATATCATTTTATATTTTTGATTTTTATACAGAAAATTATTTTCTTTTCTAATATGTTACGTTTTTCAAGTTAATTTGTATGATAGATTATTTGAAAATTAAATGCTAAATATGCAAGCCAAGAAAAAAAGAATAATGAAGAAACAAGTAATATTATTGAAGCTGTATTAGTGCATGTTTAAATGAATGGAAATAGTCTATTAAATTACACAGAATTGATATTTATAATATATGTAAGTGTTTTACACATCTTCCATATAAAATACAATAATTGTTTAAGAAAAGAAATGCTTTTTTTTGGTTTTAATAATTATATGAAATATATGAAGTTTTAAAAAATATGTCAACAAAATTTTAAATATTGTATTTCTTATTTCATAATTATGTACAATACATACACTTATATCACATAAAAATTAAATGTCGATAAAAATTATTGGAACTGCATTCTTGAGCAAAACTATTGTATAATAATTTGTCTAAGACTTTCGCTGTGTAGTTAATTAAATCGTACGTATAAAAAGTTCTCCAAAGTTAAAAAATAAATAAATTTACAAAATTGTTTATAATAATAAAGTTAGTAATAAAGTAAAAATGTACTAAATATTTTAGGAGTATATCAGGAGTACTCATTAAAATAAATACAACTTAATAATAATGTTGGTCCAAAACTATTTATTTCGGAATTATAAGTCATACAATTTTTTACATAAAAATAAGTAAAATTATAGTATAAATGAGTTATAAATTATTCAATTTTTTTACAGAAAATAACCGTATAAATAATGTATTTTTTCATTTTTACTGTTATAATACGGTATATATATATATATTATCCTCGATTCATTTATTTCCATTGTCATTTATTTTGGCTGTCATTTTTTTCTAAAGCGATAAAATATTAATCTATCTTGTATATGTGTGTTATTCGAGAAATGGCTAATATTTACACAAATTCTAAAATAACAGATATGCATTTCATATATAGCAAAGCAAATGGTAATGTTGTACAAACAGTACGCTTGTATCAAGAAGCTCATCCGAACGGCAGACAACAGGAAAATGTTTTCTAAACTTCATCAACGTTTATAAAACAATGAGAAATTTAAGTCCAATTTATTAAACTGTGGTAGATCACGATTCGTTATTATATTTTTAATTAAAAGGAAAAGGTTAATATATAAAAATAGAATTCTAGAGCATCTTGTCAAAAGATCGCTTTGTAAGAAAATATGAGCAATTGCACCGTGTATAATTGTTGATTATTATCATATATGTATTATTTAAGCATTCAAATTTTTATAAAAAATTTTCAAGCAAAATATTTTTTTTATAATTAACTTCTCAATTGATATTTTTTATTTACTGACATTTCACCGGAGATGGAATTGATTTAAATTTGTTAGACTTTTATATGTGAGGATGCATAAAGAATATATAATGCATATCAAAATAATTTCAAAAGCTATGTATGTGTTGCCAATCAATTTACATCTTTATTGAATTAAAATAATAAAAATTGTTGTATAAGAGATAAATTTGGAATCTCTCTTTGCATACGATCTTTAATGGATAATGTACCGAATTTATAATCGAAATATATATAAAATATATAAAACAGCATAAATAAAATTAATTTATGTTGCAGATAAATATACTGTATGCCAATATTATTGCGTTTCGGGCTCTAATTGCCCCATCTTAATGACGTATTCCATTTAATATTTGTAAGTTCTTTAATTTTTTTAACTTATGTTATTTCTTTATAATATATTATTGACTTATAATTTCGAAATAAATAATTTTTTAATTAATGTTTGTTTCAGCATAAAAAATTATATTTTCTTAAATTATACTATGCTTCTCAATTAACTGGGAGTATATATGTATAGTATGTATATACTTTCGTGCTTGCGTGTGTAATTTTACGTGTGTAATTAATCGCTTTTTATATGCGTGAGTACTATGTATGACAATTAGCTAATATTGATTAGTTAATTACTAATAACATATTTTAATGCATACTATTTAATTTTTTAAAAATAACAATTTAAATAGTTAATTAATTATGCCATTTAATTTATTAAATCTATATGTTAAAATTTGTTATTAATCAATTTATCAATATCCACTGATTCTCACAGTGTATATTATGTACATATAAAAAGCAAATTAAAATTCGCTATGTGGTAAAAATAAATATCACATAACTTGTGAAAATCAATAAAATATACGATGAGTTAGTATATGCATTGTATAAATGTAGTTACGAACCTGAACGCGAGTTCTACGCAATATCGTTGGTCACAACTTTGATTTTATAATTTAAAATTCTGACTTCGAATTCTCATAAGATTTAGGATATTAAATAAGTATTGTACGATAATTATGAAATATTCTATAAGTGTGCAATATTGTGTGCATTGATTCGAGCATAAAAGTTTCAATTTTAATTCAGAGATAAAGCAAATTTATATATTAATATATGTATATTAATATATTTTATATATTAATGTTATATATTATTTTACATATTAATATATTTTATGTATTAATATACAAGATGTCCCATAGAAAATTGCTGAAACTGATCAGCTGTCATCTTTTAATGCATGCAATTATTGAGAAAATAAAAATTGTGTTAAAAAGAGGAAAGTTTGCAATTTTTAATGGATATGAATATAATGTTTGTATATCAGTTTATTTTATTGAAAAAAAGTAATGAAAAAAGTGCTAATAATCACATATGTTAATGATAAATATTTTCGAAGTGCGCACCATTTGAATTGGTACAAAATTCTGTTCTTTTATGGAAACTCGTAAAAACTTTTTCTGACATGTTATTTTTAATATTATTGATAATCCTTTTAATAGCTGCTATTAAATCTAGCACTGTTGAAAATATTTATCATTAGTTTATGTGATTATATGTAATTATTAGCACTTTTCATTACTTTTTATCAATAAAATAAACTATTATACAAATATTTTATTTATATCCATTAAAAACTGCAGACTTTCCTCTGTCTAACACAGTTTTTGTTTTCTCAATAACTGCATGCATTAAAAAATGACAGCTGATTAGTTTCAGCATAATTTCCTATGGGACACCCTGTATTTTATATATTAAAGCAAATTTATATATTATACCAATCAAATGTTGAGCAAAAATGAGAATTTTGCGTGTCTGAAAAAAATGAAAGATAGAGATAAGGTGTGATATATGAGACTCACCGGCACGTTTGTTGACAGCCGTATTGATCATGGAACCAAGTTTCGTGAGGCTGGACTGCCTCATGATGTTGGAGGGGCTCTTCATCCGTTTGGACGGTGGTACCGGAATCGGGGCAGTCTTGGCTCGTGCCAGGATGGCACTGCCGTTCCGGCAATTGCCGTTTGGACTTGAGCCGGGGGACCGCTGAGGCGGTGCCCCCCATAGACCCACGACACCGGCGTGACGCGTGGTGACACCTCGCTAATCTCAGCTTCCTGCCAGCTGTTATCCTCGTGGCCGCTTCAGCTTCCACTTTCGTCACCTTATGGTCGCTGAAAACGAGATGGCTTTTTTTAGATTTTTTTTAGATTTGTGATCGATTGAAACTTATTACTTATTACACTGCACATTAAAAAAAAAAAAAAAAAATTAAATTCGAGACCTTCCTATTGTTTTATTGAATTCAAACGAATATTTATTTCAATACTGCCTAATAAATCATTTATTTGAAACTATAAGAATATTGATTTGATGCAAAAAATATTTATTTGATGTAAGAAAATTTTTTAACAGAAATATTTATTTATTTATTTCAAATAAATGATTGATTAGGCGCAGTATTGAAATAAATATTTATTGATCTTTTTTTTCAGTGTAATACGCGCGAGACACTCTGAGTATAATTAATAATTAGACTAAACAATTAGTATAGCAATTTTTGATAATTAATATAATAGAGAAAATGCTTGAATATATTGTCTTGTAAAAAAAAAAAATAAATAAATAAAAAAAAAATAATAATAAAAAACTGAAATTTAAGAGCAAAATACTGTTGCTAGAGAAGAGAATAGGATCCGATGTTTAACTCTAATTTTTGTTATCCCGACAAATCTCGTTTAAGTGGCAAGATTACTATATGGGCTAATTTGCAAATGGATCACATTCAGGGTCGTTCTCTATTTTAACAAAAGATAAAGGTAGATATTACGCAGTGCTTATTATAGAAAACTTAAAGATTGAATAACAATCAAGTTACATTATTCAAGAACCATCGGTTCGATAGCGATTTCTATTTTCAGTTTTTTCTTATTTTTAGAAGAGAAATCGTAATCATATTGAGAATATTTTATTTTTGTCACGGTAAAAATATGCGTTGCGATTTATCATTTTATTCAGATTGGTGACATTTGGTGATAAAAGGTGCAATTAAAACGAATTACATTATCGAGTTACATTAATGAGAGTATCATACAAACAGAACGTAATACACGAGATCGAGCACTGTTGAAATAGATAAATCTTTGTGCACACATTTAGCATGACAAAGCGTAAGAGATATAACATATCCATTGAGGTATAATTAAATTTGTGTAACAACTCTTACGGTACACTATTCTGTTCGTTCCATGCATCGATCTATCTCTATACGAATAAGTATGCATTTGCACGTGCTAGCAATGAATCGTATAGTTAGACATTAAGATAGAATTTATTCCCTTCCGTATACATATATATCGTTAATAATACGGAGAAAGACGGATTTAAAATTTTATATGAGCAATTCTGTCTTGATCTCGATAGCTTTGGATATTTTCGTCGATTAAAAGCTTTTCGAATTTTAATCGTCAAAGACATTTTGGTTACAGAAAGTTTAAAGCTCGAAATAGCATAGAAACGTATTTAAGTAAATGTGTTTTAATGCAATAATAATTTGTATTAATGTGTTTTAATGCAATAATAATTTGTATTAATGTGTTTTAATGCAATAATAATTTGTATTAATGTGTTTTAATGCAATAATATAATGCAATAAATTTTTTTTTATTTATGTTTTTCTATATACGTCATTATTTATATTTATCTAATCGATATCATACTACTTCGAAGGAAAACATATAATAATATAAAAGCAGCTAAAATGTTAATATAAAAAGCGGATTAGAGAATGAAAAACACAATTATGGAACAACTGTTGTATATCATAATATTTATCATATGCGTAGATCGTAATAACAAGATTACACACGCTAGTATTCTCATTCCCTGTACCAACAATTTTTTTATTTTTTCTAGGTATTATAATTTTATACCTTTTAAAGATTACGTACCAAATGTCATCGAATGATAGTCATTATTTTTTTTCAAGATCCTCATCACATAACTCATATTCACGGCTTGCCAGCAATTTTCATTTATTAAATTGAAGCCACACATTCCACATCACATTCCTAATATTCATCCTCGTGTTGTCGTCAACATTAAATTTTCCTTGTATTTGTACTATTATTAATCTTATAAAAAGTTTATTATAAAAGAGGAAATACTTTTCACACAAATATCATAATTAATATCTATACAGCAATTAATTTTTTAAATATATAAAAATTTTATGCAAAAAATGTCACGGTAACAATAGATTTTAATGATAATTTTTTTCAATATAAAGTTAAAAGTAAGTGACAAAAGCGGTGATTTAGCCGTCGTAAAACTGAATGCACGTAATAGTAAGTCAATGTTCAAGAGATTAAAAAGGAGAGTAGTATTAGATTATCCTGATGAATCCCTATATAGTTGTCTATGCTTTTATAAGACTTCGAACTTTTTTACAATCTTTTTCAAGAGTAGCATATTCTATTATTTTTTAATCTCACAAAGAATCCAAATTTATTATTTGTCGATAGTCTTTGTTCGGATTATTGGATGATTTATTTCATCAGAAATCTAAAAAAGAATATTTACTCTGACAATAAGTAATATTAACGCGTATATATTTATATCATACACTTCTCGACAACATTTCCAATACCGTCTTTGCAGCCGTAATGGAATTTTAAGTAGAATAAATGGAAACGTAAAATATAAAAATAAAGAAAAATTCATTAAAGAAACGTCAAAAATTAAAAGCAAATAATATCGATTTTCGCAAAGCAAATATCGATTTCAGTTATGAATGATAAATATGTTTAGTTGTGTATACATAATTGCACATTACAAAATTGCATGTAGATGCCAACGCAATCTATTTTGTCACAAATAGAAAGCCAGTCTACCCTAAAAATATAATCGAACTCATTTCACGTATCGTCGAGCAAAGTTCTTTCTATCGGCGAGCCGTTAGAAAATATGTATCACGCTAACGTTAATAGTCTATTAAAAATGTACACAACGGTGTCATTAATAGACAGCGCCCATCAGAAAGTATAGCGTGACAACATAAATAGTCTATTCCGGCTATAGTGCATATTAAGGTTCTGTCGACCTTTCGATCCTGAGCTTTTTGCGCATAGATTTGCCACTGAGGAGGGTCAATAAGGTCGATTTTTGGGCCAAAGCGTCGCACGTTTTTGATCGCATATTTGTATAGTTGAGGTCGAGAGCTTTCCAAAACACCCTATGAAAAGCTTTTTACGTTGGGGAAAGTGAAAGTTATAAGTCCTCAAAGTTAAAGAAACATATGCATGAAGTAGACTGCCTTAATTTGTGTGACAGATTGAAAATATATAACTATCAAAACTGCTAGTCTTAACTATAGACATGTTTATGGTCTTAACATACCGAATTGCATGAAGAAACAGAATGTAAGATAATCGCTTACGCGTTGTACTGTCAATTGTTTGATGAGGATTATCATCGACTGAAACTTTGAGGACTTATAACTTTCACTTTCCCTAACGTAAAAAGCTTTTCATAGGGTGTTTTGGAAAGCTCTCGGCCTCGACTATACAAACATGCAATCAAAAACGTGCGACGCTTTGGTCCAAAAATCGGCCTTATTGACCTTCCTCCTTTCCGCGAAATAATCATCTCTGGAGATTTTGTCGCAGGTGTCCTTATATTTCGGCTGATGTTATACGGTTAATGACTAGCACTCTGATGCACAGAGACACGCATACATATTGTCATCAAACTATAATACAATTGCCTTGCGCAATACCGCCGACCTAGATAGTCGAGATGATAAGTACTTACAATTAGGTTGGTACTGTCCTGTTCAGTTGACCCTGCCATGCCAAATAGCTTGCTGAAAGTTGGTATTTTCTCTACAGATGTGTACTTGTCAGTAATTGACAAAAAACAAAGCGCTATATTATTGCAAGGCAAATCGTTGCGTATATTTTCTTTTTTGAAGAAAACGCGTTTTAAAGCTATTAACTAGTTAATTGTAACAGTATTACGTCGTTTGGCAATTACTTTGCGGCTGGCCTAGATAGTACAATGGACACATGCAAGTATAATAATTGAATTGCAAAACGTCACGAAACCGCATACTACGAAATTCTACGTGAAAATTGTGGATTGAGTGTGCATACGCAACCATCTCCAACTCCTTTCCTATACATCGATCGTGATTTTAGACAGTAGGAATTATTTCCGATTCGCTAGCTTCGAAGGAAGACGCGTTGTTAAACGCTTCCGCTTTTATATCGCAAAAAAGATGTCTCAACAATAAAATGAATTATATCTATATATCGTTTCTACTTCCCCATTTTTCTCTTCCACCTGTTGTGCACACACATATTCTTGTTATTCATTTATAAATTTCTAATTAAAAAGTAATTTTCAAAAATAATTTTCTGTGCATATATTTTTGTTTATCTCGTAACTTTCGTAAAATGTTAACTTTAAAATTCGATAATTCTATTTTTTTCCCAATAAATAATTCACACTTTTATAGCATCTATATTCTATATTTTATTGTAGAAGTAGAGAATAGAAAGATCATATCTTTCTTAATCAAGAGATCATATCTTTATAACCAATCAAGCTTTCATTTTTGTCAATGGAGAGATTGCATTATTTTACAGGTAAAGGCACGTGCGAGAGAGAGATTAGAACTTGATAAGAGCTATAAATATAATCCGTATTTGAACATCAGCGTTTTTACGAAAGTAAAAAATGTCTGTAAATTTTTTTATCTGCCTATCTTTTGTAGTACATGTCAGTAAACTTTCGACAAAAAGCGATAAGGCACTTCAAGAGAAAGGAAGAGCTGGAGAGAGAAAAAGTGAAAGAAAAAGAAGCAGAGAGGACTTTCGGATCAATAGGTCGTGGCTTTATTGACTTGGAAAACCACTAAGAAACATAGTGGTTGGAGACCCAGAATCTTATACGTCGATTGCATTCCGAATCGGTATGCGATTCTATCGAGAAGGGTAACCAAGCGTTGTCTTCAAGCTCGATCATTATAGAAATTGGGCAAGAAGTTCTGATAATGAAAAATTGTTCGAATTTTTCTGTCATCGTTATTAGCCCCGTGACTAACTTTTTACATAAAAAGTAGAGAGATAAAAAAGAATAAAGAATCACATGAGAACCGCGAACTGCACACATG